GACTGAACACAGGAGAAACCAAATACCACCATATGGAACGCGATATCCCACAAGGAGCTCAAAAACCCATTTAAAAACCACTAAAGAGACACTAAGCGCCAAAGCCAGCACAGTAACTCACCGATAAAGGATATTCAAGGACCTCGTCTCTTACGTAAACGGCTGCATATTCATAGATGCAATGCTACTTTAGGTCACATCAAAAATGACAGATAATGGCTAAAGCATATTTATTTCTCTTTCATCGGGCCAATGAAATGACGCACTGGCAAAATATATCACTTATATTTTTATACATGCGACAAATAACATTTGAAGGCCGTTTCAAATTTAGGACAGAGTGACACCGCCACACATAGAAACATGTGTAAAAAGTGTGCTGTGGGAAGCACCAGAGAAATTACTAATCTAACGCGAGAGGTCATTAAGGATAATGTGACATGGCCATTGTGTTTCCTTTCGTCGCAGCATCCGTTTCCAGTGCCGGATCCTCTCCAGAGTCCAGCAGCTCCTCTGACAGAAGGCCAAGTGGAGGGCTAAAGGCTGCCAAAAGGAGGGGACAGGCGCCGTAGATGAGTCAGACTGGTGGAGTGTCTCCCTCATCACCAGACATCATTAACTAAAGTAACAGGCTGGGGTGCTCCTTACCCGGCCCAGCCAGCACTCTCCACTCACTTCTTTAACGGCCCGTTTAATACCACTCTTAGCCTGTCACCCCCCGTTTCCTCTTCTTCTCCACCACCAACAGTGTTAAAGCAACAGATCAAATCAAACGTACACAATTTACCCTTTACCCCACATGCAGTCAATCAGTAAATCATTATGCAGTCAATCATCATTCTGTCATCTGATCGCACCTCCTAGCCACCGCCAATTTACAATACTATCATGGGGGGTTAAAATAAAAAAGATAAACAGAGCAAGATACTGAGGATCTTCTTACAATACCCTCTTTTCTCCAGTAAACTGGTTATATGTGGTAACCCCCCATTACCTGCCGTGCCTGCTTAAACCAGAAAAAACAGGCCTTCTGGTGAGAAACTTTGTTTTTTGTCAAAAGATATTTTTGCAACAGGTCGAATAGAGTTTACAATCGTTTCTTTTTAAAATGTCCAATGCAATGTCTTTTTATGTTTTTAATAACTGATGTAATCGTAACATAAAGATCTTTTAAGCTATTCATGTTTCGTGAGGGAATCTATTAAGTGTGAGGAAGGCTGCTGAATGGCTTTTCAATTTAAATTTGATTCAGTACATGGAATAGAGTTAAACATTAAAAGAAACTTGTTAAACGAAAACCGACTGCGAGACATCCCAAAGCTGCACATAAAGCTTGCACGTTTTCAGGTTTTTGTAATTCGTCGAACTTAAGTGACAATCACGATACATGGAAATAATCAGCAATGATCAATCAGCTCAAGTCTATCCAACAAAACATGTTTGGTACCTGAAATTTGCTTGCTAGATGCGAATCATCTCATGGACCTGGCCTGTAACTCACTCCCTCACTCATGTTTAGCAGGCTGAAGATTCTCCACAAAGGGGCTTTTTTTGGTGCTTCGAATCAATGACACTGTGTGTTCTTGGTTTTTGCATACCATGTATAAAAATGGCCAAATGGATCTTGCATAGCTAAAACCTATAGTAGCAGCTGTCTTGCAGCCTCAATTTTGTCTGTACTTTTGACCATTTTCATAGATGACAGGATGTCCATCAAGCATCCATCACTTGTTAACTACATACAAAAAAGTATCATATTAAAAATACATCAAAATAAATCATATTTTAGAATACCCTGACAACATGCAACAACATATTTCACTTCCACAGTGCTTATTCTCATACCTCCAGTGCAAAACTCATGAAGCAGTCAACATGTATGTCTGTTTGACTACATTCTGGATAATGGAAACATTGTGTAAATCAGATTTTTTACTGGACTGCTGCTTTAAAGTGGACGTTTAGTACCAAAAAGCAGACATATTAATATATTGTATTGTTGTGTATATCACTTCTGCAACATTGCAGGCTTGGGACACTTCTTCCACTGCCTGATGTGGAAAGGTTATTACGTACATTCATCACTTCTAGGCTAGATTACTGCAATGCCCTCCTTGCCAGTTTACCTGCGATTTCCCTCAGGAAGCTCCAGTATGTGCAAAACTGTGCCGCTTGTGCTCTCATTCAAACCTCACCGCACAGACACACTACACCTGTGCATTTCAAACTACATTAGCTCCCTGATTATGCATGTATTGATTTTAAAAACGCTATACATACCTATTAAGCAGTTTCGTGACCTTGCTGAGTCGTGCATGCAAACCCAGCTTAAGCATTTCGCTCCTTCACCCTGCAGCAGCCACACTGAAAGCTTAAAACAATGGATGAGAGAGACTTTCTCAAGGGGCTGCTCAGTTGAGAAACAGCCAGAAACTGTCTGACATTCATTATTTACTATGTTTTCCTTTGGTTTGTTTGTTGGACTTTTTGCTTTGTTATACTTACTGTGTTTTGCTGGACTGTGTTGCTGTATTACATTTACTAACTGTGCTACCACTGTTCCATAGCTTTTTGCCCCAGTTGCTTTGTAGAAGTTTGGGCTTGAGAAAAGAGCACTTTAAATAAAATTAATTATTATTATTGCTGCTGTTGTTGTTTGGCAGGTGCGATCTTGCGGTAGATGGCTTAGAGCCCTGAGCCGCTCCAGCTCCAAATGTGATTGTCTCTTATGATCTGAGGGCTCAGTTATTCCTTTTGAGTATTTGGTTGGTGAAGGGATCTGAAGTGGGTTGTGGAGTGGTGCAGGAGGAAGCCCCTCTTCCCCACTACGCAGCTTTCATCCTTTCGGGTCAGGTGTGCACTGGCCCATGCGTAAGTAGGTTAATCCCTTCTCTCCCTCCCTCGTTCCCTCCCTCCCTCCCTCCCTCCCTCTCTCACTCTTTCTCTATGCTCCTGGAACCACTGCTCAGGAGAATAACCTCTTCCTCTTACACAAGCCATCGAGCTATTCTTAGAACATCACAAATCTCAACTCCTCTGAGGATGAGCACGCCTGGCATGACTTTCTATGTGGGATTTCTACTCTTTGAAGAGCAGGGTAGTATAACTGGTCGCTCCCGAGTCTTTTCTAACGTCTGAAAGAGCTGCAAACTCTTTGAATGAACTGAGTGAATGCACATTCATGTAAAGAGCAAGCAACCTGGGAATAAACAGGTAAGGTAGACTCAGCTGAGCTTGTGGGAGCAGTCAAGCTAAGCTAAAAATGACTTAATCACTCAATGGAACTTAAATCAAAAAGTGACATGTTTAAATCAGCGGTTTACTGAAAAAATTACATCACTTTCCCTGTACCGCAATTGTAGTTAATCAGCCAAGACACATTTGGTTTCCTTCTCTAGTTTCACACTGGAGATACAAGGCTAATAAGGCAGAAATCTGTCACCCAAAAAGATCTTGGGTGACACAGACTTCCATTACTTCTTAGCTACATTAGCCTCGTAGCCCCAGTCCAAAACTAAAGAAGTAACTCTGGACACCAAACATGTCTTGGCTGATCAATTATGTTCAGGGTAAGGAGAAAATTGTGTAAACTGTATTTGTTCTGGACTTTTTCTTTAATCTATGCTGAAAAACATGTGACTCAGAACGACATCTAAGGTGAAAAGCAATGTCAAAGAAACTATAACTCCATATCCGATTTTCTAGTTAATGGAATTTCATTAAGCAAGACCCAGCAGGCTGCGTCCAGCTTTTTCCTGCATTTCATAGCATGGTTTTCTGCCACTTCCCAAGAGCGTGTTCATGAATAAACATAACACACAGACAAGTAGGTCACGGCAACCATTAGCCCATCTGCCTTCATTTACGTTCCACTGCATTTACTGTTACTCACTAATTAACTAAAGAGGATCTCATTACAAAAGGACTTGTTCAGTGTATCCCAACAAAAGAAAAGCACTCAAATGACTGTTTTTACACCATAGTAATGACAGATGGCAATAAGAGAACAGGTAGACAGCACTCAAACCTTCTGCTGAGTAAATATAAGAACTACTCAGCTATTCCTAACCTGTTTCACTCTCAATTAGCCAGAGCTAACTGCAGCAGCTGCAATTTGACAGCATCTGAATTCCAACCATGGTCACGGTCTTCTGACAAAACTCGATGTGACATGAGCTCTTTTTTTCTGAATTCTCTCCTCGTCCTTTATTTTTTGGAGTTCTTCTGGTCATTCAGTCTACTTGGGGCCTGCATTAAAACGTCAACCTTCGATTTGAGGCAAAAATGCAGCAGCTAGTCTATGATTTTCCCATTTGAGCAGCCAGTGATCCATAGAGTGAAAAAAGCAGACCTCATGTAATCTTTGATCCACAGCACAGGTCAGTGCCTATAATTCAGCCTAAAGCAGCTGGAAACCGTTATCCGAGTTGATGCTGTAATCTAAAATATGATCTATATCTGTGTTTCTCAACCCTGTTCCTGGAGGCCCACTGCCCTGCACATTTCAGTGTTTTCCTTGCTTCAGTACACCAACTCAGTAAGAGCTTGGTAATGAGCTGATTAGCTGAACGAGGTGTGAGCAGGGAAAACATTAAAATGTGCTGGACAGTGGGCCTCCAAGAGAAACAGTGATCTATCCATAACACATTCAGAGGTCCAGAGACACTGACAGCATCTCACTGCAGCGCAGTATGAACAAATAAAGGGCATGTCCTAGTTGAATGACTCTGTATTTAATAATGAGTATAACAACTGCAAAGTGTTCGTATCTCAATAGACATCCAGTATGTTTCCGCATGCCAAAGCTCATCAGCTCAGCCCCTCAAAGCCAATGTGTATTGTAGCGTGTGGAGCCTCAAAAATGAGAATCACAGGATGAAACACAAGCTCCTAGCCGAGAGCTACGTGCTCCAAGTCCACACAGTGGACGGACACACGAGTCCGTCAGTGCGGGCTAACGGGCTGTTTGTGCATGTGTTCTCCTCTATAGGCCCTCTTACCTCCTCCAGGACGCTGACCGTGTTCCGGCAGCTCTGCAGGCGGGTGGTGAAGCTCGATGTGGTCGGTGAGTTGTAGTCCTCCGTGGTCTCTGCCAGGAACTCGGACACAGAGATCTGATCCGGCATCCTGAAGGAAGGACAGCCGCGCCACAGTGGAGAAGAAAACAATAAAACAAAAACACCGAGAATAGATTTTCTTCAATTCAAAGATGTAGCAGCATTAGTGACTAAAAGCAGCCCGGCACATTAGTCCGCTCTGTGTGTCTTCGAGCGAGGCTGAATCTGAGTGAAAAATGGCAGAAAAAAAACACACGGCTTGTTGTTTCCTCGCTGGTCTTCTTCGTGTTATTCCCACCGTCCTACCCCCTTTCTCTTTCTCTCTCTCTCCCTCTCTCTCTCTTGCCCTCTCCTATTCGCAGCCTGTACACCGAGCACAGCGCGGCCGGACTAACGCTGTCCTCCTCAGGCTTCCCCCAGTAACAAGATGCTCGGGTGCTCAAAAAAACGCCCTCATTTCCACAGACCGCCGTTTAAAGGCGCTCTAACGCTCCGCTTTTCTGTGTTAGTGTTTTTTCTTTCTGAATGGCTAGTGTTTCAGCTTTCGTAGCGGTTTCATCCTGTTTTCCTCCTCTTTTCTCTCTCCGCTTTCTGACACACGCGCGCTCCGCCCCTCCCACCGCCGATGACGAGCTCAATCGAGGAGAGTATCTGCGCGTGCGCGCATAGAGGAACCGGGATGGGACGTTCGATTCAGGCTTACGAACCGATTCTTTTGAACTGTCAGTTTCAAAGAATCGAACGCACGATTCCTCTATCATTGATTCACGAGTCAGGGGAACTTCACCCTCATCGTCTCCACGTTCGGCTCAGCGAGCGAGTTTCTGTGCACAATGAGTGCCAAGCCTATTTCTGTTTTTTGTTTTTTCAGTTCAATTATGTTCGATAACTCTGAATTCAGACTCTAATGGAGAAAACAAAATAGGACAGAAATAATACCTACCATAACACGTTTCATGAGATTATTGGTATTATAGTTTCAGTGGACCATTATTATTCTAATTTTACTGGGCTTCAGCTTATTAAACAGACTTAAACGGCCCTACAAACATTTCGATTCATTTGGACTTGACTCGGTTCGTCAGACATATTGAGCAGAACCAGTTCAAAAGAATCGATTCATTCACGAGTCGCACATCGCTACAGCAAAGCTGCTCCGCCTCTGCTGGTGAAAATTAAGTTTGGCCATGTTCTTTAAAATCGTTTTACTGAATATGTTTTTTATTTACGTAAAAATACGGTTCCAACAAAGAATACATTGTGCATTGGCATTAGAAAATGTTTTCCCTGGGCTTTACTTATTGATAAATTGCCCATTATACTGGCTTAGTAAACATACTAGTAATACGTAGCCTACTACACTGTAATAACACTATCATAACATAATTATATATTAAATTTAGGCTAAATGTGTTTTTAATATAAACGGTACTATTCCCTCTTTCAGTGGAGTTGTCTTTCATGTTATACATTTTAACATTTTGAACAAGAGAATGATGCGAAGGTACTGATTACAGTGAGATTCTTGGACGGATCTAGTGGCAACATTTTGTCAAACGTATTCCATTACAACACATTAAAAAGGAACATATTCAGAATACACTTTGAATACATCTTGATGAGGCACATGGAAAAACTTTGCTGTTGTAATTTTTACTTAATTTGCACTGTCTGTCACTGTTACTGGTTTGCAGTTAACCTCATTCAGTTCTATTGTTAATATGTTTCCTGAAAAATTTGCTTATAGAATGAAGTTGCAAAATTCTCAACATTATTTTGGCTCTCATCATCTGCTTCTGACCATAATCCCACTGCCCTCGCCTGAACTAAGCAAACAATTCACAATATCCCAGTAACAAAATCTTGCAAATTTGCATATAAAGTGAGTAAAGTGTGTGATTTTTATTATAATAACACGTAACTGGCCATGACACACACACAGATGTCCATTACAACGCAAATGCTAAGCTTATCGCTTGTCAACATGCCCACTACTGACTTCCATCATCCCTCAAAAGGGCTCAGTAACACTGAGATTAATAACTGATCATTACATTGGTTTATCAGTCTACTCAGGCTTTAGTAGGAACTTCAGTCTGTAAAGAAGCCTTTTTTTTGAGATCTTTTTTACCTCTTTATACGCCATGTGCTGAGTTTAAAATGGTTAATAAACAAGCATTGATGGTGTTTCTTTTAAAGATGTTATTTTAGAAATGTAGTGGTTAAGTATTCTAAAAATATTCACCTAAAAATTTAAAGGTAACTGCTTTCTGAATACGCCTTCACAACATGTACTTTGGACTGAATACAGATACTTCATTTCCATATTATTCTCAATGCTTCCCCTTACATCCCAGGCCTGGTAAAGAGGTGCAGTGTTATTTTGTGGAAAATAACAGCACAGCTGTAACTATTCTAACCAGTCCACATGTTCACGTTGTTCGCGAAGCTCCTCAGTGACTCAAAACCAGAGACCATCAGCAATGTTTCAAAATTATTCAGGGCGAAACTCATAACAGTCCAACTCACCGGCTCCACAGAGAGTCTCTGGAAGAAAAACTCGATAAACGGGAGGAAGAGGACCTCATGACTCTTAGGGTCACCTGAGTAAGAAAGCCTGGGGTTCAAACACAAAACATTAGATATTAAGTAGGCCATGAGCTCAAACTAGTTAAAAAGTACTCCGCAAAAATGTATGTTTTCGCACAAAGTTTCACCGACTGAAGGCTAACTAAAGTCACTCCACAGGCTACATACTGCCTTATTCACTTAGGCTGAATACTTTACATTAGCCTTACACGGCTAATGCAGATTCTCTCAGATGTGCAACCTAATTTGCCCCAGAGGGGGAAAAAAACCCACCACGCCTCAACACTTACCGAGACCGCTTCACCCCGGGCTGCTTTCAGAAGAAACAGTGAACCAAACTGTGCGCTGAACTCCGTATTTCCAAACGCCACCATGTTCAGTTCATTTTGCTCTGTGCCTCGGCGGAGCAGAAAAAAGCCACAACTGCTCAGGATTTAGTCTCCGGCTGGAATGTGCCATTGATCTCCCCCATCTGGAGGAGGAGAGACGATCAGCAGCTTTTGGACAGGAAGCGAAAAGCAGCCATGTGGGGTTGGAGAAGGGAGGTGGGGGCATTTTTCCAGAGGACACAGCCTGACTGAGCTAATGGCCAGAAACAGAGTCGTGCTGCTGAAGTTGTAAGCTTAGCTTTTATCAAACTGCTCTTCCCGTCAGATATATTCACAACAAGCTTCTCACACTGGTCAGCTTATACTTATCACAAGGATACTTTTTAAGTGCTGAATGACCAGCTGCAGTGTAGACATGAGTGGAGACGTTTGAACAGAGCTGCTCTAACATTAGCCCTCCGGACTACTGCGCTAGTGCCTATGGAGACCGCTCGTTGTTCCACAATGTTTTCAGGCAAAAAACAGTTTTCTGGTTCTTCAAAGCGAATGATTCTATTTAGAACCATGAGTTCTATATAGAACCATTTCATGCTTAAATGGTTCTTTGCCTGGTGAAATGGCTCTTCAGATTGATGGAGAATGTGCTGTATATGATTCTATATGGCATCTTTTTAACAATGGTTCTCTATAGCACCAAAAAGGGTTCTGCTGTTACACTGTCAAGCTTGTAACTATTAAAGAACCCTTTTCAAAAAGATGCTATATAGAACCGTATACAGCACATTCTCCATCAATCTGAAGAACATTTTCACCATGCAAAGAACCATTTAAGCATGAAATGGTTCTATATAGAACTCATATTTCTGAATAGAACCATTCCCTTTGAAAATAAATCTTTTTTTGGGGCACTGATTTGGGAATTCCCGGCCAGTGCCGATGTTGGACATTTTTCATGTACATATCTGCCACTGCACTTAATATCGATATCTATCAAATCTAAACATCTGATCAGATGCGGACTTTTTTTTCAAGCAATTATCTGCTGATGCTGATAGAATTCCAGTATTATCGTGCATCCCTACAATTCTCTCTAGGAAAGAATCACTTTGAACTTAATTTTATAAAACATTTGATAATATGAAGATGATAAATCTATTATTTTACGATGATAAAATAAGACTCATTCACTATATCACTCATCTGCCATGTTTTAATACAGCCACTCTTTTCTCCACAGAAGGAACTTTGTAATATTTCCCAATGATATTTCCGTAGTAGGTGATAATAGTCACTGTTCACTCTTGCCTGTGTGGCGATATTCATAGACTTGGTTTTGAAGCAGAACAATGAAGTAATGCAGCACTCCAGAACATCTTCTCTATAGTGAGAGACCACTTTACTGTGCAGATTCTAGTGTGCAGCACCTGAGAGACACACACAGTGATCACATTTCCAGATTTGACAACAAAGACGCAAACAGAGGGATATTAAAAGAGAAAAAGTGCATTTATTGCGGAGGATCTGTCCAAAGAATAACCGAACAAAACCGGAACAGCCCATAAACACAGCCCTCTGGGCCTCAACGTACTGGCTGAAGGATACAAATACAAGCAGTAAGGTCACTCTCCCCTACTTCCTCCATTTCAAAAGTCCTCTCCTCCCACTGCCCACCTCTGACCAATGCTGACACATCAAAAACCTTAAATTGCTTTATCAAATGCTTCTTACAGGCAACGCAGATTTTAATAACACACCTATATAAAGGCAATAAAAAATGCTTCAATAAACACACAAGTAACACAGCTCTTTAATAAGAGGAGGTTGTCCTGATGACTTTAAGTCTGTGAGGTGGACATATTGAGGGAAACAAGCCATAACTCTTCCAAGTCCTGCGTCTCTCTCTGTGAGGAGAGAGAGAGCGAGAGTGAGAGAGAGGCGCTTAACCGCACGCTGTGTGCTCACAGCTACCGGACCCCCCCCTGTATTCAGGGAGGGATCATGTTAGGGGGCGTGTCCCGCACAGCCCCCCCCTTTGAGGGGGCAAAATTGATTAGTCTGAGTCTGAGTCACTGCTATCTTCTGTTGAGCTGCTTGAACCATCTGATTGGTCGTCATCATCTTCATCGTCATCATCATCGTCGTTCTGTAAAGCACGTAGGACAAGGTTTATGAATGTATCTATATTGACTGATTTCCCTGAGCACCTCTCATGATATTTTAATGTTACTGTTCTTGATTTTATCCTTATTTGGTTTAGATGTAGATTTATAGTGCATTCGGACTCGTAATTATCATGTCACCCAGTTGTAACTACAAGGGGTGGTCATGAGCGATAGGTACAGAACCATGCAGAAGTCTAAGCAAACTTTTTAAAACTGTTTATCTGGTAAATAAGTGTATTACTGCTTTATAACACTATGTAACATTAGAACAAAAATATATAACGAAGTTAATACTATCAAGAATGCCATGTTTTCAAAAAGTAAGAGAATTTTTTTTCCAATTTTCTCATCAATTTAGTCAGTTTGACCCCGTTAATACCTGGTTGCTGCATGTGACTAGTAACTGCATTATATCCTGATAAGATTTTAGCAACATGCATTTACACTTGGTAGTCAAATGCGTCTGCGTCCACACAGCAATCGAACTGAAATCCGACTGCTGTGTGGGACGGAATATGCGAATCTGTTCATTAAGCAGCACCCAGTTACCAATTGTTTATTATGTTGTCTGTAGTTTGTTTTGCAAAGTACCGTCTGTCCATATTGCTATAAACCATTTTGTTTTGTCCTGTGCCCAACCATGTGAGCCCTCCATGATCATCTTCCTCGCAGACACAGATCACGAACTCAGCAATGTGCTGCATGGGGAGGAGTTTCTGTTGTACTGGGAGGATTTTTTTTTGTCGAATGTATCTTGGAGAGATGGATGCATTTACGCTGCTATAACATGTGGCTTAAATGCGTCTCAGATCACCCCCTGAAGTGGTCTGAGTGCATCCTGGGTGCGTTTACACTTACATTTTTTTGTGGCTTATCCAGATATAATCCTGATATTCAAGATGCATGAAGTGACCAGGTGTAAACAGGGTCTAAGACAGTTGCACCACTCGGGAGCCCAGTAAGAGATATTTTGAACTACTTAGAAGAACAAAGTTTGATAAGTGACTTCTCAACGTCCCCAGCTATGCACATCTGACTTAATCTAATAAAGCAGTGATTAGCCAAACTACGCCCCTGGTCAAACTTCATATTTATTTTAGTGACTATCTAAGTGAAAATAACACATCCTCTACAAAGAACATACTTCTGCACATTTTAATATACAAGTATTGTATATTTACTAAGTTTAACATATTGGGAAAAATAAAACTAACGTTTTACGTTCTGTTCCCCCCCCCCAACATGTTTAAGTTAGCAAATAATAGAAAAATGCCATATTTAAGTTCTAACTTTAACCTTTTCCAACTATTTTACACAAAACATGTAATCATATATAAATAAATAAATAAGCACATAAAATGCTTACAGCCCAAATGCTTTTAAAATATAATTTTCTCAGGTGTCTGAAACTTGCACAGTGCTCCACTGTGTCCACAACGTATCAGAGCTCTGGTTTGTGATCTCACAACTTGTAAACTAGAGTAATATGGAACTTTAACACTATGATTTTACCACCTGTATTTACACCTTCATCAGCTGTTTGAGAGTAACTTGTGGGAAACCTAGAAATTCACAAGTTTACGACCCTTCAAAATGCATTATTAAAATTTTGTCTAAGAAGTACTGTAAATTTACCTCGTCATCGTCATCATCTTCATCATCATCGCTATCTGTGCTAGCGGAGGACTCTTCATCTTCGTCCTCAGAGTCTGATGAGTCTGTCTTATCGTCCTCCTCTTCTGAGTCTGATGTGTCCTGCTGGAGACCACAGAGTCACACTTCTCTCTAACGGGCAGTTATCATCTGGTTTGTCGCTCACACTCACAATGCATCACAATTTTTCAAAAAAGACCATTTTGAAAAGTTTAAACACTTATTGTTTTCCACAATTCTGCCATCAACCTCTCTATATTACAATGCGGTCCTTGCAGACTGCTCAACAAACTAATAAACTAATTTTCTCAACACTGGGTCTCTGAACAGCCCTGTTTTGTGACTGTATTGGGCAAGTGGCCCAGAGAGAGCGAGCGTTACCTTGGCCCGGTACGCCATGGAACGTTTGCCCCCCCCGGCCCCCAGCGTGGTGGCTCTGGCACCTACCGCCTTCCCCTTGGTGACACGGACTTTGGCTCCTGGACCTTGTGGCTTTGTCGTGCTCCGCCGTTTCTGTGGGGACACAGACGGGAGGGGGCAGGGGAGGTAGAGAGTGGAGAAGGGAGAGAGACACCAAAAAAAAAAAAAATAGAAAAAACGAAACAAGAAAACAAAAGTTCAAGCTCAAAGCAACAATTAGTAGCCCCACAGAGCAGCCCACAGAGCATTGCTGTCTAAAATCAGGTTAGTTTTAGATCTAAGAAGTGAACATGATTAAAAATGATGATTCAAAAGACAAATTCTGGGAAATGGACTGATTAGCCTTAATCTTTAGTCTTACTCAGCTTAAATGATGGCAGCAAGAAAACTTGCCATGCAATGTAGCACAGTGGTGCAAAGGATGCATTAGAATACATGCGCAGGTATTGTAAACACTTGAATGACTGTTACACAAGATGAGTTACATTATATGGAGAGTGTGGATGAGCAAGAGACATATAAGCAATAATGAAATGACGCAACACATCTAGACACTCACCACAGAAGAAAACTCTTTATAAACTGCCCGCTCCTGAGGAGAAAGAGACTGAGAAAGAAAGTGAGAGGGAAAAAAAAAAAACAGTCATTTACAAAACACCAACCTACAATTAAAGAAAATAGATGGAAAAGGACTTTTGTACAGCTGAAAGTCGACAAAGTGGATTTTTTTGTAATTCTGTTAGATTTCAATACATTAAGCTTTAGAAGCAATATAGCTTTCAATTAATTTGTTGAACCAGATAATTACAAATAATTTTGAACATTGAATGATGGGAGTGGGAAAGAGAGAGCAATTGATGAAGGCATAATGGTAGGATTAGTCTATTAATTGAGTAATAGTTGATTATTACTAGCCCTAAACTTCTGTGAAAAATAAACTCCAATATAACGAAAGGATGGCAGCAGAATCCAGCACCTACCTTCACCCAAGCTTCCAGCTCCGCTTTGTACTCGAGCTGCTGCTCCTCTACCTGCTTCTTGTACTTGTCCTTCTGGCTTTGGGTGAGCTTGTGCCAGCGCTTGCCAATCTCCACCATGCGCTCCTTCAGGCTGAAGTGATTAAGCTCACCGTTTGTCAGGAGTTCCTGAGAAAACATCTGATAACCACTCCTACAGTTCCACGAGAGAGAGAGAGAGAGAGAGAGAGAGAGAGAGAGAGAGAGAGAGAGAGAGAGAGAGAGAGAGAGAGGCTTCTGTTGAAATGGTTTATTGTACAGAGAAAACTTTCAATAACACTACTGGCAAAGAGGGGGGTGGGCTGTCAAAGAAGGCATTAGATAAGATTAGTTTAGATTACACTAATAGATTACTGTAATAATAGTCAATTCATTAATGTGTTACAGATATAATCATTAGTTCAAGCCCTAGAACAGTGTTATCCTACACTGAGCAATCTCAGAGGGAGTAACAGTGTGGAGATTCACCACTCACACAGGAGGTTTTTTGGGCTCTCCGTCAAACTTGGGTTTCCTTTGCCCCTGTCCTGATGGCACCGTCCTCATCTCAAGCAGCTCTCTCTGTAGGACAGATGCAAACAAAGACAACAGTCTTTTAGCTTCTTCAAACACATTAACAAACAGGTAGAGGACACAAAATTGCTTCTATTGTGTGCTGCAGTAATGCACTGGCTATGAATACATAAATAAATAAAATAAATACAATGTCAGGCTCATGAAAATCTGCAAGTAGATCACTGATAAAACTCTAAAGTAAGGAAATGAGACTTTTAAACAGTGCAATGACTGCAAATCCCATAACTCCAACACTACACCACTTGACACAGTGACTGAAAATTATGCTGCAAACACCACATGAGAATAAACAGAAAATACATATAAAGTCAGGATAGCATCATCAACTTCAGGCACCTCCACCCCTGCTTTACTCTGGGGAAGAGGAAGGTTATTGGCGACCAACATTTTGACATTTCTTCAACATGGATGAGAAGACAGTGGTCAAAACGTCTGGTCACTGACCACGGTCCGGTACTGAACCTCGTATCGCTTCTGGTCCTCAGCCGCCTTCTTGATCCAGGGGATCTTCTCTTTCTTCTCCATGGCTTTCCAAGCGGCCTCCATGGCGGTCTGTGCTTTCTTCCGATCACTCTGTAAAAAAGAGACTCTTTTCATTTATGCAGCAACATCGTTGAGTGCTTTTTTTCCCCATTTACTCTTAAGACACTATTACACAGAGGTGTATGTGTCTCTACAATGTTCTTCTCCTGTTCTAGAATTTCCTCCACATTTAGACTATTCCAGAAGGTTGTCTTGCCAGTCACACTGTTCTATGTCCAGCCCCCAATTCAAACAGTTCTATAATGTTCTCCCTCATTCACTGTGTGTTTTTATTCTGGAACAGTATAAATCCAGTTACCTACATTAGAGTGTTGTTTTTTGCTGGGGAAAGCTGGATCAGTGTGCCACAGCTCGGCATCAGAGCTAGCATTTCTTTTAACCCTGTGCTTGTTCAGGTGCCGAGCAGGTTAAAATCTTCTTCTGCTGTATTAGGAATAAAGCAATCAGTCTTGCTCACCCTATATTTGGCCAGGTAGTCTCCTATTACACTCTGCTGCCACATCTCCTCCGCAGTCTTGGGAGTTTCTGGGAGTCGCGTCTTCTTCTTTGAATCTCGCTTCTCTTTTGGCAGCCCCTGTACCAACTGGTCCAGCTCAGGGTCACGAACCCGCTCCTACAGTAGAAGAACGCCACTGGATCAGCCAGTTTCAACAACAGGTTCCCCTTTTAATGTCTTAAAGAAGCGGATGAAACGATTGCTATATGTATGACGAAAAGAGCTAGCAGACTTTAAGGGCCGAATTTTATTGCTGAGCCTGTAAATCTGCTAACATAAACAGGCACTGTGTGCAGACATTTTTATAGTCACATTAACATTAATGTGTGAACTAAGTAGCACTGTCACATTTACCAAACCAGGCTGAACTATCTGAGGGAAAAATATCCAATCATGAGAAGAAGACCAGCATATCTACTTTTTCTAGCTTGAGGCTTGAAAGCTGAACAGTGTGCCAGTTAGTTGTGGCTGTGTTGTCATGTACACAGCATGTGTGTTTGGTTCTGACTGGTCTAGCTTAATTCTGGGCGGTTTACAAGCTCTCAGTTATTAGGTGAAATAGAAACTTGTCAAGACAATGCTGGTGATCTCATAGGCCAGGGGTCGGCAACATGCGGCTCCGAGCATGCAGCTCTTTTACCGCCCTGTTGCGGCTCCACAGCAGAATTAGATTTTTGTGTAAAAATAAAATAATCCTGCTTTGCAGTAAAATAAAGCTCTGTTGACTGCTCTAACACAGTTTTAACAATAAATGGTCTTAAACGCTGGAGTTACTGTAGCCCAGCTATAACTGCTAATTCAACCTTTCACCTTGAAGGTAGGTGCACAGACTGCTGGTCACCATAGCAACAACAACAACCTTGCCTAGCTAGCAGCTAACGAAAAGGCAAGAGAAAGACTTAATAAGAACATCGATATTTCGGAGACGAATGGACTTATGTTTTAGCATATACTAGTACATTAGCACATACTGAGTCATATTTACAGCCAAGATGTTAAAATAGACATGAAATATTGTGGCTCACAAGGTGGTTTGATTATTTTTAAAAGGACAAAATGGCTCTTCTTAACAATTGGGTTGCTGACCGCTGACATAGGCTATTATTTAAATCGCTGCTCTTGTGATCTAAAAATTGCACTCTTTAAAAATGCAAATTTGATATAAAAACAATCTTATAAATAATCTTTTAGCCGTACCAGAATGTACAGAGAACGAAAAAGAAACCATGGTTTTATAATGTTTCTGAAGAGATCTATAAATGTTTGGAACAAAGAACCACTTTGCCAGTCAGACTTTAAACTGCTCCATTTCCGTTTTTTTTTGCACTGTATTTTGTTTACATTTTTTTGGGGTCTTGTCTGAACCCTCTTGCGACCAGATAAACTTCCCTGCTCAGCCAGTGTGGGTTTGCTTGTCACACAGCACCACAGTATCACATGCTATGTAGTGTTTAAAAATTTTGGAGGTCTGTACACTGGATTCTTTGCAAACCACAATTACTCAATAACACCTTCTCTACACCTCTATGTAATCACAAAAGATGATTACAGTATAATATTGCAATATTTTGTATTTAAAAATAGTATACATACATCCAAGTCTTATATGAGGTATTTAATTGTTTAATACTTGTTTAATACTTGTTTAATACATTGTAATGTGCATTAAGCCCAATAATAGACTAAGATAATAGAACACGTTACCAAAATGCATTGCTTTGTTAATTTGCACAATGGCGCTGTTTCTTTTTAGTGAGACCAAGACTTCTGCCAGTGGAGTTATTGTTAGGAACAGGTCAATAGCAGCGTGGATAACACACTCACATAAAAGAACCTGTAAGAGTCACAGGGTAGGTCACTTTCAAAATAAATATTACAATAATCATTTTCTTAACTACCAGCAAACTACCCGAACATGTTTTCAGTGCGTACAGAAAAAGGCAGCCATTAATACAAACTGCAGGTTGCTCATTACGCTGACAGACATAAGAAAATAAACACATTCTCTGGTCAGAAACTTTGTTATTGCAGTGGTTTTGTAGTTTTTTTCTGTAGGTCTAATAAATTGCTTGTTTACAGCATTTTGTATTTATAGTCATGTGAAGTAGTAAGTACACCCCATGAAATGTTTCTTTTTTTGACATACGTGGACACATCAGTATTTGATCTTCAGTTAACCCCTTAAAATCCCAGGTTTATTACATACTAAGGCTTATTATTCACTAACTACAGGGACTTCAATGCCAACTGGTTGAGCTATTCTTAGGTTAAAGAAGTGTGTAATAAAACTGGTGGGCAATAGCCATGTAAGAGGTTAAACAGTAAGTACAGATAAATGTTATGTCAGAACTAAAAACAATGGAAATTTAACTTTGCAATAATTTATTTATGTTATTTCTGTCTGTTGAAAGTGTACCTTCTGGCTTCAGTTGCCCCCTGTGGCAGAAACAGCTTTATGCAGGCGTTTCCATTAATGTTCTACCAGCCTCTCGCATTTACTGGGAGAAAATTTTGCCTATTCCTTTATGCAGAATTCTTTTAACTGTGCATTCTTAGAGACGCTTCTTGCATGTACAGCCTGTTTCAAATCCCCCCCAACAGTATTTCAATGCAATTCAGATCTGGGCTTTGACTAGACCGAATTTACTTGTATGTTGGGGATCATTATCCTGTTGGAAGGTCCACTTCTTTTTTACAGATGGTCGCACCTTCTTCTCAAGCACTCTCTGGTACGAAAGAGAATTCACAGTCCATTCTGTGATCCTACAGTCTGCTCTTGGATTAAATTTGGTGGGGCAATGTGGCCAGGACAAGTTGGCAGTGGTTTTAAATCTTCTCCATTTCTAGATGATCATTCAGACAGTGGAATGATTGATTACTAATATGTTGGATATCTTCTTAAATCCCTTCCCAGACTCAGAGGCATTAAAAACTTCCTTTCTGAAGGCCTTGAAGAGCTCTTTTGATCTAGACATGATAATACCACATACTCCAATAACAAAGAGCAAACCAGACCAGATAGCTGAGGTTCAAGTAAGCTAAGTTCCTCCAAGATATTCTCTAACAGTGTTCTAATCATTACCATCTGATCAGGTGCACCTGACTTGACATGTTTGAAGTAGTGATTTATGTAGGGGTGTACATACTTTTTCTGCATAAGAAAACTGCATTACTGTTTATTTCAATGACAGAAAGGATGACAAATGTTTTAAATAGTGTCATTAGTTAAATCGTATCACCTTTATCTATCAACACTGTTTAAATGAAGACTTGATATGTGTATCTCCATATATGTTAAAAAAAATGTTCATGGGTACTTACTTTTTCACATCACTGTATTTAGTACTGTATAATATGATTTTGAATGTTTACTATAAATTGCTTCTTTTTAAAATAATACAAGATAAAGCTAAAGCTTAACCATGCGATGTGGTTAACCATGTGTTAATGCAGCTACGCACTGTCTTTTTTGTTCTGATGTAATGACAACATAAAAATCCTTTAAGCTCCAGATCATGTTTTGTGAGGGAAGCCTGCATGGAAGGCTGGTGCACGGCTTTACCTGTTTAACAAGCACAACCACAGATAAGAGAAAATCGATCTGCCTCAGAACGCTCTAAAGCCAGACAACATATCAGGGTTGATTCAGGACATGGACTTAAATTATACGTTAAAAGAAAATAGAGACAAAAATTATTATTTTTGTGCATCTTAGCCACAGATGGCATGTTTTTGAATAATTAAATTGTTCGACTTAACGGACAAAATACATTGTCACTCTGCTCAAGCCTACTTTGAATATCGCAGCATAATTGTATGGAGACTCAAAAACTGTGAGAATACCATGGGGCCTGTAGCGAGACCTTAAATAACTATATGCATCTTCACAGACATTTCAGCCTTTAATAAGTCAGTGGCCCACCTTGCTTGAAGGGGATTTAGACCCAGCAGGGCTGCCTGCTCCAGCCATGCTCAGCTTAGTGCCACCCAGCTTCTCCTCTGTCAGGACTCGCTCTCTTTCCTCCTCTGGCAGGCTCTGCAAACAGAGGAAACTCAAAATGCACCATTTGGCAAGGACCACATTTAAAAAGAAATATGGTTCTTTAAGGGTTCTTCAAGAAAGAAAATGGTTCTATACAGAACGATGAACAGTTAAACCCTCAGTGTGATTAAAGATTCTTTGCATCATGAAAGAGTGCTTCAGATTGATGGAGAAGTTGCTGTAGATGGCTGTACAAAACATTTTTGAAAAGGTTTCTATACAGCACCAAAAAGGGCTCTTCTACTGTTACAAGCTAGACACCGTAGCAGTAGCCAACCCTTTTTGGTATGATATGGAAACTTCAAAAAGAAGACACTTGAGTGTTCATGGTTCTATATAGAACCATTTTCTAAACGTATTACATGACAAATTAATAAAAGAAAAAAGAAAAAAGGGAAAATTCCTCTTAAAACAGTGTGTCATTTGTGAAATAACACTATGCCATTGATGCTTACCTCAATAAACCTCTGGAGATCAATCTCATATTGCTTCTTTTTCTGGTAAGACAAATGTTCGAGAATGCATTAGGTGTTGTGGTTAAACCAAATAATAAATACAGCACACTGTTTAAATACAGCACACAGTTCAACTATGACTCACAAGCTCAATCAACTAATCAAATAATGGATGCACTTCACAGCCCGAAACTCAATCATCAAACACTGCAGTTTACAGAGACACTGACAGACCTGCTCGCATCGCTTCTGGAACATGTCCTTCTCCTTCTGGGTCATCATCTTCCACTGCTTGCTGCACAGCACCATCCTCTCTGTGCTTGGCACATCCTTCATGTTCACCATCAGCTCAGCGCAGTATAGAGAATATCCATTCCTACAAAACAAAAGAAGCCTTCCAGATGCTGCAGAGAACACCCAACAACATCAGGCTCAGTAACTGGGAGTTTACTGCATATAAGAGCAGGACCCTCTCTAAATATGTTCATGTTCAAGTCAAGAGATGAGAAATGTTTAAGAATAACAGAAAAAATGTCGTTTATGATAACCATGACCCATTAAAGTTCTGAAAGCTTTCTCAAGTTACAAGAGAACACCTGAAGACCTACGGTGGTGGCTTGGTGGGCCGGCCATCAAATTTGTCCTTGAGCTGCCGTTCAGCCTTTGTCAAGACAGACTTCACATGTTCCTCAGAGTTTGCTTCTGGGTGCGCTTCAAGGTAGGCCCTCATGCAATCCTGAGAGGCAGATTCAAAGACTTTGAAGAGCCTCTTCCTTAGTTGTGTGATAATACTTAGGCCCAAACCCATTTCCTATTTTTACCACTATCCTTGTTTTCGAGAGTCATCTTGCCCCCTGGAACTGTGTTACAAGGGGTAGTGGTTGAAATCTTCCCTACGAAATGAGATAACCCTCAAGTTAAAAAAAGGACATTGTTTCATTAAGAGGCTACAAGCGGTGCTCTGTAGGTGACCCTGCCAGTCTGCAGTGATAGTAGTAGAGAGTAAAGTTCAGCAACCTTGCTGCTGGTCTTTAGTTAATCTTAGGGCATCATGTGCTTTCAAAGAGGGGGAATGTGATAATTATTTATTATTGCCCAATTCTTTAGTGATATGAAGCTGAAGTCAGCTAATCGCCAGATTCTTGTTCGATTTTACCCATTCCACCTTAAATGGAGCAGCAGTGACATTCTGGCGCTTCAGGCATCAGTACTGCTGGACTATTTAAGGTGGAACGGGTAATTTAGTGAGCTACCGAGACGTCAGCATACTATTAATGAAATTTTAACCTTTTAAAAGAAGAATAATACATTGAAACCATAAACCATAATACACTGAAAGAACATTAAACTAAGATAATACAATAGTTACAGTATTTTTTTAACTGAGAAAATTGGTCGCTTGTGCAGCCATCTTGGCGTTTTTTCTTTTTTTCTCATAACACTCTGTTTGGAGTGTGCCTCTGAAAAAGCACCGTTTGGAGGGCCATGTAGCCCTAACACTTGCCCTACCCCTCTATCTCAACAAAAATCTAGACATCCTAACCCTAGACGTGAACGCGCAAAACGGAAGGCTAAGGGCTGAGTGGTAGGGCGCGACAGGTGAAATGGGATTGGGCCTTAGTGTGTTAAGTCGTTTACTGTATGGAAAATACCTCATAGTCCTTCTGCAGCTCCAGGGCTTTGCTGATCCATTTCAGCCTCTTCTTGTCTGAGAGCTGAGACCACTGTCTTCGTAAAGCTTCTTTCAGCTCCTTTTGACTTACCTAGAGATAAAAGATAACTTACATTTATAAAGGAGGTCCACATCATGAAAAACTTTCCTCAATTTTTTTAAATATGACTTTGGTGTAGAATGTAAACACTGTTAAAGTGTTTTAAAATGTACCACTCACTTCCACACAGTCCATATTCGGAAGCTAGACTCCAAAACCAGCATGTATTTAATCAGCTTATTTTTGTGGTGTCCCAAAAACCAACACATTGACATATATTCACCTATTCACCAAGCAGTTTAGCTGCGACCACTCACACTAAAGTTATAAGGAGCATTGCAGCCTCGACTGCTTTTTGAATGAGTAGCCTTCTGAGTCTTACAGGCACGGTAATAAAAATAGCCTGTTTAATTAGAAGGGATAAAGAGAGATGGTCATGTAGAAATGAATAACGGCTGTTGTTGGCAGATAAAACCACAGTGGGCCTCAGGGGACCAGAAAATAAATACAAGAATACTTTTGTTCTACCAAACCTACTTACATCTGATCATCCTACCGGTTCTCATTAGTTCATTAAAGGTTACAGGCAGGCTTTAAGGCCACAAGGAAAACCATAAAGCCATGATACAAATTTAAGATACAAAAAAAGATACAAATTTAAAACAGCTCTGGATAATTTTGTTCTGTCTAGAGTATTGCACCACAAAAATACACAAGGCAAAAAAAAATCCACTGTTCATTCTTAGGTCAACAAGGCCAAACAATAAAACAGCTGTTATCATTTCATATCTATTTTCCCAGATTTGTGTGCTGCCATTTTTGTACGTGCGATTATTTTGCTGTTTTTTTTATTATTTCTGGTTTGTGCTGTGTACTGTATATGTACCTGTTGTTTGTTAAGCACTAAAAATTATAATTAAAATCACTCACATCTGGGTGAAGCTTCATGAAGGTCTTTTTTTCGTGGTTGTACCACAGCTGCTGAGGGGTTTTGGGCTTCTCTGGGAGGTCTGACTTCTTTCGCTCTTCTATCAAATCAGGATGCTCCTCTCTACCAGGAACAGAGTGAAGCTTCTATTTGAAAAATGTTTCTTGAACACTTTTGTTAATTTAGAAGTCAAAGAATGTGGCTGCTTACTTGAACCGTGCCATGTTTTTCTCAAATAATTCCTTCTCCTTCTGGAATTCCTGAACATATTTGAGCTGAACAAGGAAACACCAGAGGATCTTTATTACTCAATTCAGCAAAACAAAGCCCAAAAAATCAAACAAATGATATAATCACAACAGCAGGTGCTTTCCAAAAATAAATCTAGTCAAACATCCCATGACATCCCCACCTTTTTCTTTTCTGTGAGCTCCTTGTATTTTTTGGACAGGATCTTAGTAAGATCTAGGTTGCTCATCTCTGGGTGGATCTTTGCGTACTTGGCTCTCTTCTCCATGAAGAAACGAAAGTAGGGTGTAAGGGGCTTCTTTGGAAAATCTGGATGTGTCTGAAAAGAAGAAAAAATAAACAGGATACAAAGAAAAATATTTCTCTGGGTTTAATGTACTGTTGTAAGTTTAATTCAGCAAGTCAAAACTTCAGTATTCTGCTTTGAATGAGGGTATTGAAGAAAAAAGGAAATATTACCTTCAGTTTCTTTCCTTTGTAGGGGTTCTTTACACAATCTATAGCATCAATAATGAGCTCTGTCATTGTCCTGTATTTCCTCACCTATGAGAAAAGGCATTGTAAGTTTTATCACAAGTCTGTGTTGAAGTTTTTGCATGGAAAATATTTTTAAGGTACTACTGGAAATAGGGGTTGATAAAAGACAATGCTAAAATAAGTCATTAAAGGGCCCATATCCTACGTTTTTCTTGTATTTTACTTTTTTCATTATATTGAAAATGTTTGTGCATGTCTGTTTTTATTACTGGAAGGTTGTGGGGTTAATTCCCAGGATTGATTTCTGGTTGTGCTTTTGGAAAGGGCACTTAATCCCCAATGCCCAAGGCAGCGCTGCTCTGCTGGCGACATTGTGTTGCTTCCTGCCTGGGCATAGTTGACAAAGCTCCCTTGTATGACCAGTAAAGTAGAACATTGATATTTTTTTATCAAAAACACTTATAATTCATTTTACTGATCCATTTTTAACCTCTCTTTCTCCCTTAGAATTAAACAGGTTGTTTTTATTACTGCGCCTTTAAGACTGATATATGTAAATGTTCTGTTTTGATTGGCTGCCCTGTATTGTGACTCATTTTAAAAGCAGGCTTGAAACATTCCCTACAATTTCAGTGTAAACAGTGGGGCTAAACTGCTGTATGCTGAGTAGGTGAATATATGTAAATGTGTCAGTTTTGGTGACATCGCAAAATGACTGACTCAAAACAGGACGTCTTTGCAGCTTAGTTTCATACATGGACTTTGTGTATTGGGGAGTAAATGGGACATTTTAAGTTTAAAAATGTTTACATACTACTAGTGGTGTCAAAGTTAACATGTTAACAACATGTTAGTGACATATTAATATGTTAACAACACATGCCTAATACACTAATAACACATAAATAACATGTTAAGGCAATAAATGATTAATGCCACAATTTTTTGCAGTTACCACATTTTCCTGGTTTGACTCTTCTGACCATCTGTAGTTCCACTCTAAATAAATTGGCCATAAAGGATGTCATGAACAAGCGTCCTGTCCTTATATGAGCAAGCATTTAATTTCAGTTCTGTTGAAAAATATCCTCTCTTGTTATTTACTTCAATAGCTGCCTTCCTTAACTCTCAAACTTCACAGCTGATTGCTTGACAGAACGTATCACCATGTCATTTACCTGAGGGCTACAGTCACAAAGGAGTTGGGACTACTGACTGTATGTATTATATATACAGTGTGTGGAACTTGCAGACGCTGTTGCTCTTACTGGACTTCGGTCATGCATCCACCTTATAGAAATCGCATGATTTTTATGTACATGTTCATGTGAACAAGGAAAATAATAATATTCAATTACTGAAAGTAATAAAAACATTGTGATGAAGCTTGTTTTGTCCACTTGTGTTGCTGTAACAAAATATATTGCTTATTTTGGGGGGAAGCTTTCTTTAAGATCAATTTAGAACAAATAAGACAACTACACAGGTGTTATATAATAATGTCTTATATATAATATACAAAACAATTACAAGGTGTTATATAATAATAATAATGAATGTATCCTGCCTTCCGCCCAATGACAGCTGGGATAGGCTCCAGCACCCCACCGTGACCCAGAAGGATAAGCGGTTTAGATGATGTATGTATGTATTTAATTGCTTAACAGCCCTACATACAATATTAGTAACTCTTATTTTACAATTTTTGAAAAATCAGTTTTCCATGATACGGGCCCTTTACATTATAAACCTACATTAGTTACTTTTAGAAATGATGCATATGCATTCCCTTGAAAAAAAAAAAAAGTTACTTACCAAGTTGTCGTTATAGTTTATATACAAGTTATAGTTACTTTCTAATTTCCAGTGATCTACAACACTCCCACAGCAACTAACTCACTTATATAAAGTGTCACATTTACTTGAGTGGATTGACTTCTGTTAACTAGTTTCTTTCTTTTATACTGTGGTTCGATCATGATTCCTAGTCATGCTTCTTCTGTGTCAACACTACAGTGTAGTTATGAACAGCAATTACAGTCATACATGTCATGTAATGTGTACTCAAAACGGATAAACTACATAATTTCCTGTGCTTTACTGCAAATATTCACGTATGCAATGCAAATTATTTTCATTGGATTGTTTCATAGAGTAATTAACAAATGTCTGCATCCAAACTTAATATTTTGGCAAGTGACTATGCTCTGACACAAAAATAATTTATGCAAACAAAACTAATGATAAATTACAAAATAAGAGTTAATTAACAGAAACCAACAAAACTGCTAAGAACACTGGGAAAAATGTTGGGTAAAAGAATCTAATTGATTGATTTTAATTAGATTTAGAGATTTACCTCAGTCACTAAAGATTACAAGAAATGGTAAGTGTTACTAGATTTGCATTAGTAGGTTAAACCGATGGGTAAACAAAAAAAAAACAAGTTTGTGCATGTTATTTGCACAGTGCAACAGAAACATAACACACCAATTATAGTTTTTTACCACCTAAGAAAGTAGAATCATTAAAATATGTTTGCACACAAGTTTTTAGCTCCTTGTAATCAGCCCCTTTCACTTTGTGTTTAGTTGTCTCACCTCTGTGGAAACCTTCTGCCATTTCTGCTTACACATGTCCCCTGTGTAGTTTCCAAAGCCTACTTTGTCCCAGTCAAAATGAGTCTCTGTGGTCTTATATTTCACAGTGTCACCATCAGGCAATAGACTCCTGATCCTCTCCAGCAGCATTAGACAATCCTCCTTACTCCATGCATCATCATCTAACAGAAACACAAACAAACAACATGCATTATTTCTCTTACAAAACGTGACGATGAGAGCAATAAATAAAAATGCATAATGATCATATAATATGTGCATTGCAGCTACAGAATAGCAAAGCCTGCACAGTAAGCGTTGATTACCTGGGTCGATTTTGATCCGCCCAGCCTGGGTGCCAGCCACGCTGCTGCTGCCATTCATGCTGACAGAGTTGAGGTGGCTTCAACCCCACACGCTAGTACACGTCTACAGAGAGCCTGAGGCCTGGGTTCATGTTGAGATAAAAACAGCTATTACTCCTCAGTATAACACGTGCCAACACATGCTGTATATCTGACTCATGATGATTATTCTTATTGTTCAAAGTACAAAACAGTAACATGACACATTTTCCCTGTAAATGGCAATCTTAGCAAACCACTCCACACTTGTAGCTTGTTTACAGGGCCATATCCTACAATTCTGCTTGTACTTTATTAACACCAGCCCTCGAGGCCTTCTTATAACATACTGAAACATTCAGAGTACATTTTTACATTACCTTTTCTCAACCTCTATCAACCTTTATCCTTCAAACGGACTGCTTTTGTTTTTGTGCCTATAAGAGTAACATATGTAAATGACCTCTGTTCTGATTGGCTGCTACTAAAATGCAGTCCAGGCTGACACACTCCTTATAACTTCAATGTGAATGGGTGCACGGTTTTAGAGAATTTCTATGTGCAAAACTGTAGTTTGTAAATGTTTAATCATATTTAGACTGAAAAAATTGCACTAGTTTTCTTCACATGGAACAGCAGAACATATTTCAACATTGCTGTCATATTTTTCTAACAGTGTCTTATGTACATTCAAGACATCAATGCGCGTGAACAGTTTTGTTCAACTAGGAAGTGGCCAGGCTCCCCTTAAACTGGCTCTGGTGCAGCTGCACAGTTCCTTCTTCTTCTTCAGCGTTCACAGTTGATGGCAGATCAGGTAAATCAGTTACGCCTAACAAAACACAGGTAGTGACTAAGGGTGTAACGATGCACAAAATTCAATTCAGTACAGTGGTGTTGTGATATATTTTTCAATACTGAAAAAATAAGGAGCGCCTGAATATGCCTTGTAGTCACATGTTAATGGGTTACATGCGCACTAGAAGTGCAACGATGCACGTTTTCAGATTTGGTGTGATTTTCAAACCTGTGCCTCAGATAAAAGTTCTCAAACAGAACTTTTTCAGTGCATGCTGCACTGCCTTGTATCAAAACAGTCCCTCCAATAAACTCCTATAATTTACAACTGATTTATAAAATGGCCCAGTCATTTCAGAATGGGTGCATGGATCACATAAGCCCCTCCCACTCCCCGCCCACTTTACTCTGATAGGCTGCACACAGACGCGTAGTTCCGATCATTCACAGTGGTTTCCTCAAAAGATGATAAAGGAGAGACCCCCGGAACAGACCGAGGGGATATAGGTGACAGTCTTAAATTTAGACACAGTTTCAAATTTAATTTTCCGATACGTACTGAAATCGTTACACCCTAGCAGTCACATTTACTCAGTGACGAGGATTTAAATGAGATTATACTACATCCGTACCTTCACAATATACTTTTAAGTATATTCCTGGGGAAATGGCTCAATTACATTTTACTTAGATCCATTTCAGTCCTTCACATTTGGTTCTTTCTTCATGTCGTTCTGTTCTGTCGTTTCCGCTCCTGAACTGCATTTATACCTTTCTTTAGTCTGTTCTTTTAGCTACTTTTACATAAGTCGTTATATTACTGTAGTAATGAAATCGAACTCTTACTCAAGTGCAGTTTTGGTCCATACTCTTTAAAAAGACGGTTCTTCAGGGGTTCTTTAGTAAAGTAGACAGAGACCATAAGTTCTATATATAACCATTTCAAGCTTAAATAGTTCCTTGCATGGTGAAACGATTCTTCAGACTGATGGAGAATGTGTTGAATATGGTTCCATATAACACCAAAAAGGGTTCCGCTATTGTTACAAGCTTGACATCATAACAATAACAGAACCCTTTTGGTTCTGTATACCATGTACAACACATTCTCCATCAATCTGAAGAACCATCTCTTATAACACTGTACTCCGCACTCTCAGTGCGGGCTGCTGCTCTGTCAGGCTGTTCACGTTTATAAAGGAGGTTACAGTGCATTTGCGGTGCTGGCCGTTTCGTGCTCGAAGTTAAAGGGGGAAACAATCATTTAGTTTCAGTATGATCTTGTACAACGTGTCGCTGCCACCCAGAAATAACAGCGAGCCTAAAGCTCCGCCTCTCGCTGTTTTTTTTTCTGAAGGGAGGATGTGTCCACAAAAATCCTGTCACACGGTCCAGAGCCACACCAAACAGCGGCAGCGCGCAGGGCGACATCGGGGCCGGATACCCACCACGGAGCGACGGGAAGCCCAGAGGCGGAGCGAGAAGCCGCTGTCTGGAAGAGCGACACGGATCCTGCTCAGGATGTGGCTTCACGTACGAAAGCGAACCTCCAGCGTCAGAAAGCTGACTGAGTGCTCGGAGCCTGAGCTGAATCTGCCTCTCTGCCCCAACAGCATCGACATCTGGACGGCTTATAAACGCATGCTGCATCTGTCTTTAGGTGAACTTAGTTGTTGTGCTGGAGTTCAGACTGCGGTGACGCTACGCGCTGCAGCAGGAATCCGTGTCGAACTACGGACAGAGTCCGGATACAGCTGTGGCCGAGCCGGGAAACCGTTTTCAACCCCAGCAGTACTGATAACAAGTGTATAAAGCTTTCACGAAAAAATAATTAAACACACGAGTCTGAGAACGCCGTGATACGCCGTTGTTGTTTTTAAAATAACTATGTACGGCCTGTTTGAGGAAGTGTGGGTCTGATTTTGAGCAGTGAGGATGGCCGAGCCGCCCAGCGCTAACGCAGCTTCAGCCACAACACCTGGCTAAGGGGAACCTGGCTAGCTAGGCTAGCGTAGCCGATGTTAGCATACAGGTTTGCAAACAAACCTGGCGTGTTAATTATTTGGCAGCTGGTCGAGCTGTTTTTTTTTCCACTACCGTCAGTGTAACTTAAATTCTCAGTGTCTGAGTAATCGTGTTAAGTCGGGAACATTTCTGTTTTCCTACGCTCGCTTCGGAGAGAGCTTTGTGTTAGCGCTAGCACACTTGGCGCCAGCGTCAGCCCGCCCTCCCCGACCGGTGGCGCCGCTCTCCCGGTTACGGTGCCGTCCCCGCCCGCGCAAGGTCAACCCAGCCAAAAAAAACCCTGGGCTTAAAAAAAAAATCACCCTATTTAACATGCAAACTTATTAAATTTTGAAACCATTCGCATTTATGTTGTGCGGTGCCCCTCGCCGTCTGACGTTAGGCCGATTTACTTGTCAAAGTCACAGAAAGTAACGTTAGCTAAAATGTTTAAAAGTGAAGTCGTTTTAGTAATAAAGCAGGCGTGAATTTAGTCGAATTCGTAGTAACCTTCATTACGACTGCAAGCGTTACCTGGCTCGCTCACTCACACGTTTGATTTGAGTATTTACGGACAGTTTTGTACCGTCTGTGCACCGACCATTGTGTGCTTTCGATCCCAGTAATGGCGTCCTTATTCCGGCAGGAGTCAGCACGCAGCTTCCGCTGGCACGAACGCCTCAGGTAGCGAGCAAGCTTGGCCAAAGTACGAAGAATATTTCTTAAACCAGTGGAAATCATTGCTTGACCATTTGTGAATATCCATAGCCATCTTAAAACATCTCCACAGCAGCGACAATCGCGTATTATTTAGGGAAAATGACATTTTGAAAATGTGGAAAAAAAAACGTTTACCGTTCACATTTGGTTCAAATTTGCAATTAGTGTGCCTCAGTATTGTTTTCGGGATGAATAATGCACCTCAATTTCAATAAATCGTAGTTTGTGAGAGCATATTTGCAAAACTGAGGGTCGAGCGGGCGCCTGTGCCTTTCTTCGCCCCGAAGCCCTCACTGCAGAGCCGCCATGAATGTTACAAAGACTCGGGGACGAGCGAGGTGAAAATCGTGGAAAACGACCTCAAAAAACAACAAACGACTCACCTTTTTTCAACAGTACGTCACAGATCTCCTTCGCGATCAGTACGGTGCTCGTATGAAGTGTATTTAACGTATTTTAGTGTCGTTTCTTTTAGCCGTAAGCCCCGGGGAGTCAAGTCGAAACGAATCCGACAAAAGGAGCGTCTGGTTCGGTATGAAACTCCGCCCAGCGCCGCAGGGGGAGGAACTCCGCGGGAAGACGGGCGAGAAAACAGGAGACAAAGGCGGAGGTCGATACTTACAAATAAAAAGTTTGTTTTTTTCAGCTTAAAACACATTTTGAGCCTGTATGAAAGATGTATTATTTTTTATTAACAATAATGCAGCACAAGCACAAACACCCATTTCCACAAACTCAGCGTTAAACATGTTACCCACACAGTGATAAGAGTCCAACACTAGGTTTTAACTGTCGACATTTTGTGGTTGGCCGTTTTTTGGCCAAAAAAACCCCAAAACATCGGTAGAGTCTTAAGGTTTGAAAGCGGTTACAGCCAGCCTTTATATCCGTCTTCAGGGACTAAACCGATTAGTTAAGGCGCCCACATTCCCGTCTCTCGCAGCCCAAATAAAAGCCCTACTAAACACTAACGTCCCTCAGGTCGGATAACAAGGCAGACTGAATGAGCTGAGCTTTTACATTCCCGTTTGCTGTCCAGACAGATGTCAATAGAAGGGCTGCGTCCATGGCGAGGGTTTGATCAGTGGTTAAAATCCCTTTGAAGGCGATCTAAGTGGTGTGTTGTACATTTTTGGCCTTGTCCACACTGGCAGTGAGGTGGCACTGAGCCGCAACGGCCGTGTCTCTGGGTTTCTTTATGTGAGGCTGACCAATGGCACAGGAAAAAAGGAGGAGGAGGTGGAGACAGTGTTAAAGGAAGAGCCACTGAGCCGGAGCTAAAGACCCAGTCAACCCCTTTAATCTGCCTCTCCATGCCTGAGACCCCTCAATCACGTTAGAAAACTAAAGCACTGCAATGAAAATACCTACTAGTGATGTAGTCTGTGAGAGCAGGATCTGTTATATATGTTGATTGCATGCTGTATCTAGTATGTGGTTGAGTTGCAGGCCTCATCCCTGCATCTTTATTGCCTACAAGTCACAGTGGCACTTGGATCAAATAGAGGCCTAACTAGGATCTTATTGCCCCCTTATATTCAAATTACTTTACATGAGTAATGCACAGTTTAGTCTTTGAAAATGTAAATCAAGTCACTCAGAGTAGTTTGATGTTAAGTGGTTCATTGTAGAGAAACTTGCCGAATTGAATTTCCTTACAGTGGTGGGTGATAGGAACCAGGGGTCCTGATGTCTACAGCTCAGGTATAGCCATTTTATTTACTATCCAAAAACGACCAGTGTATATAATAGTGGTAATTCCAAAAGAAAACTCTTCAGGTACCATTTTACCTGAGAACATCCTGGATGTATCTTTTTGCCATAAATGGATTCAAGCCAAAACTTTATCGCAAAACTATCATAAAACAATGCCTCAGGCATCAGGCTGCGTGTTCATGACCATTTTGTGTAAAAACTTTCTGTGAGGGAGCTTTTAGAGACATTACTTAAACACTTTGGACATCTGGTTCTAATCACCACCACTGTGAACAATTTTGAGTCGGTATTCTCAGGAATGGAACATTTCACACAGACTACTGAATGACTGTTTACATCTCAGTGATTTAAATGTGCAGACGTTTTGAAAATCAGTGCAATTCCATTTTAAGTGGATAAAAATGGCAATGGTCGTCATTCAACAACTGTTCCTAAGAAGATATTTCTTCTTAAAGCCCACTTACGCAATTTTCACATAGATTCTGACGTTCACCAATGTTTTCTTATTTGGGATTTGTTCTTAGGTAAGAACGGAATCTACACACACTCAAGAGCACAAAGGTGCGAACAATTCGGCAGTTTAAGAACACGTCATGAATCTGATGTAGACTTTGTTTTAGGACCTTTCTCAAGAACAAATTAAAAAAAAAAAAAAACTTAGGAAGAAATTGGTGAATGAGGCCTATTGTCATTTGCTTGTTTCCTTGTTTTTGCAGTCTCCAAGTTGATACTCTAATTCTTGTAGATTATCAGTCTTGTATATTATTGCCATTGTTTCACATGAATAATTGGGTGTAAATTGCATAAGTAGCAGTAAAAGGGGTGTAATGAAGACATTGCCCCACCTGCACTGCCAGTTTCAGCCCTCTGAAACGCTGAATGGCACTAATAGGTTAGAATGAATCATCATTGTGGAGTGGTCATAGAATTCGGTTGTATTTATTTCACCATGTTTACTACAGACATTGTCCAATTTCAACTGCACCCTGGCACCCTGACACACTGGTTTGTGTCAGATGTATACAAGATGTGAATTACAAGTACATGGTGAGGTGTTATGAGTGTAGGACAGGATTCCAGCTTCAAAAGATGGGTTCATGCAGGGCTCAGCAGTCATAAACTCATTACAAATCATGAGTGATCCAAAGCACATTTTAGGGTTTTTCTATAATTCAGATCCTCAGCTCATTATTAATCCTTTGAGTCCTGAGCTGAACTACATCTGACAGAGCAGGAAAGTCTAGGCCGAAGGACAATCCACATTGGAAATCCGTAGTCTAGGGATACACTGGTATCAATATTGTTGGCTGTTGCTGATACATAAACATTCATAAAATCAAATAGGACTTTATCTACCTTGATTATCATTAAGCAATTTTTTGGAGATTTGCAGATTGTTTTAAATGGAGACATTTTAGCATATTAACCTGCAAATGTTCTGCTCTTCCAGAGTACAATAAATACGCCATCAAATATCATCTTGAAATATCAGCTAATCTGTCTGGTAATTTTCTAATCAGTTTTCTGCCAGTACTGATACGATTCTGATATCATCGTGCATCTTTACCATAGTCCATATATATAAAGCATTATATTAATAATGCCAAGTTTTCCACAATTCAGCCTGGTGTCAGAGAATTTTTGGCAGAATACCTTTAAATGCTTGGACAATAAAAGCATGTCGTACCATCCTAGAATAAAGAGTATTCCAAGATTTTCCATTACTTCGCAATCGACTTGCATTAAAACGGTACTGACCAGACAGTGGCCAGTGGGATGAATTTGCTCCAAAAAGACTTCAGTCACTTCTCTCTCAAAAACAGCAGGAAAACAGCACTAAATTTGTTAGTTTACTTACTACAGAAATTTCAGTTCAACCCACAAGGATAAAATGTTTGGACTCTTATCATCCAAAAACAGCAGTCTAGATGTAGCTCAGATAGCCATGTTTAAGGCCAGTGCATTGAGGTTCTTCCTTTTTGACATTTCAGTGTCTTTTTATATATACTAGTTTTTCCACTGAGGATTTTGTTGTCCTTGGACAATAATTTCTGTCCCACTGCATTCTGTCTGTTTTTTTCAATTTAACACATGAGAAAGTTTTTTTTATTACTTTTAGTTATTTTGTAAAGCTCAGTAAATTAAACAATGAATCTTATACATTTTGTTTTGTATTTTCTTGCTGGCTAACAGATCTGCTCTATATGCTATGAACTGTTCAGCCAGCAGGTGGCAGCAGGTTTCCTTGAAATTAGACATGAATGTTACTGTTAAACAGCAGTGTCTGTACTCACCATCCACTTTATTAGAAACACCTGCCTTGCCCTTCCACTCTGATCACTTTAAGAGCTCCACGGTGTCACAGTTACAGACTATAGCTCATCTGTACCACAGTCATTACTGGACACTAATATGGTAGGACTACAGAATGGGTGCACAACTCCAGCCCTGCAGGGTTTGTGTTCAACACTGTTTGATAGATCCCCTACTTCAACACACCCACCACACCTGGCAATTAACAAATGAGCTGATTCAGGTGTGTATGAGCAGGAAAGTCTCCAGGACCAGAGTTGTGCATCTCTGGAGCAGAGGACGACTAACAAATTGTACAACAAAAGTTGAGCTACAGTCTCTAATCGTACAAACAGCAAGGTGAAGCTAAAAGGTACGTTTCTAATAAAGTGGTGGGCAATTAAGTTATTATTGTACTCAAGTACTTTTCTTTCAAACGTTGGTACTTAAAGTTTTTCTATTTTTTTGAGCATTTTATTATCACAGCACTATTTTTGACAGTAAAATATATTACTTTTTACTCTACTTTATTATGCAAGATGCTGTGAAATGAAAACTAGATTGTCCATAATGTCCAAAAGAATATGATGCACTTTCATAAATAAATCAAACTAATCATAGCACACTTTTCACCAAATCCCTCTCCTAAATACCAGCCAGTACAGTAACTATGCAGCTGTGACAAGCTTTCAGAAAAGCAGTTTCTTTTTATAAGCAGATACCCTTAAATGTACTTACGTATATTCCTGATACTTCAATACATTTAAAAGTAAGTACTTTTGTACTGTAATTAAAGTAAACAATACAAATAAAGCATTATACTTTTAATAAATGCAATATTTTATCAAAAATATCACTACTCTTATTCAAGTATAGGATTTGTGTACTTTGTCCACCATATTACACAGCAAAACACTTATGTACGTAGGTGGTCTTTTTTCACGGAGTGCATTTACCTGCGCAATTTGACTATGCAACAACAGCAAGCCTTAGTACAGTTTATTTAAAGACCTTCAAAAATACCTATCCATCACAATATAAAATGACTATGGATATTAAACATGAGCTATAAATACAGTACCAGATTGAACTGATGGTTTATTCTGGAAACAGTGTAAATGCACTAAAAGAACGGCACACACATGGAAAGGAATGTTGAATTGCTTTATTAAGTTTGCACTGTGTATACATACACACAGAGTAGTTAGTGGTAGTGATTCTGACAGACTGCAGCAGTCTCTCAGCTCAACTCTCTCTCTCTCTCTCTCTCACATCATCCGTACAGGATCAGACAAGGTCACTTTTGCTTCACATTTGTGCGATCATCTTTCGTTTGGCGTCAAGCAAAAGCAACTACACACAGTTTCTTCCGGCACGTCTTAAAGTGATATTAAAGGCACTACAACGTGAGCTCAGGTGGTTGTAACGCAAACGCTTCAGGCAGTAACTGGGAAATACACAAGTATATAATTTTACTATTTAAAAAAAAAAAATCAAATTTTTTGTCCGACATTTAGATAAAAAAAATCATTTGGATTAGCTGGAATGTAAGCGAATCATTTTTCCATTAAAAAAAAAAAAAAAAGACTGCACCTTTAATCATTAATCCACATTTTTTCCTTTGCCTCACACTTCTGCCCAGCGAAAGGTTTTCAAAGTGTGAAATCAGAGAGACAGATGAATTACAACACGGATAAGACACAAAATAAAACTTTAAAATGCATAGATGTTTTCAATTTCAGCTTTTCGCTGCTTCTTTAAGCTGCTTAAACTGCTTTTATGGAAAAGCACAACACTACAGACAGAAATTCAGAGATCAGCATATTAAATGAATGACTTATCGTTGCACAGATGTGACTTGTTAATAGCTTAACTGGCTCTGAGGCCTATCATCATTTATAAAGCTGAAATATTACGAATCTACTACCAGGGCCCGACCAACATTTCAGTTGGCCAATAATCAGCCAATATTCAGCCAACATTGACGACTCGTGGTTTCATTGGTGTCGCCATAAACATCACCAGTAACGTGCCAATAAATAATAACACCATCATCAGGATGCAAGTTTAAATTTCTGACAGCAATAATGTTTAAACTGGTAAACCTGAACACAAAACACCATCATGGTTAATGTTACAATAACACGTGAAATGTATCCCAAGCTAACCTTTAGTGTGAAAACGTTTTATACGCACTTTAATGAAAAGAACTAATCAAAAACAAGAAAACCGCAAAGAATTCTGCATAGCTCCACCACTAGTGCTTAAATATATGTGAAGTTTCTGTTGTTTGATTTTAAGTGTGATAATTGAGACGTACCAAGCATATCAGTAAGCAGTAAGCACTGTATAACTACAACTGTAGTATAAATCGAAAATCTAAAATGTAAATATGAAAATATTTCGACCAATTTTATTGGTTCTTGGAATTTTAAGACCCTTAAAATTGGTATTGGTATCAGCCACAAGTGTTCAAATCAGTCAGGACCTACTGACGCGTAAACAATCTCTAATAATTAACAGAAATTGCTCAGTTATCGGAATGATGTATGCCACAGTCCCCTTTAAAATATATCATTTGGACTAACTGGCAATTCCCTTATCTTTCTCAGTTATACTCCTTCAGACTATTAAAAACACTGCTACTATTGAAATGAATCAATTACACTATTCTTATTTTGCAGCCACTTATTTCAGTCTTAAGCATTCAGCTGTTAGGCCTCTTTGGTGCTTTGCATGTTAATTATTTAATTTCAGCAAAGCTGTGTGGTGTCATAAAATAGTAAAAACGCTGCGACTGTCACAAACACAATACACTTACTGCCCATACTGACACTAGCAAAAGCCAATATTTAGACTTTCTCATGTTTAGTGATTAGCTGACTTCACTGTAGAGCACTACCACAGCTCTAACACACTGGTCTTTTAATACATTTGGTTTTAAATATGAAGATAACCGTGTGTTGCAGTCAAAAGCTTTGCATATTTTTTCACGACAGACATCATATACAGTCACGAAGAAACATCCGAGTTAAAATAACGAGTGCTTTTTACGTGTGGTACAAAAAAGGAGCGTCCCGAAACAGCTCTGCTACTTTAATGTCTTTGGAGATATTCATATAGTTGTTCAGTCTACGTTGTTCCATCTTGATTTATGTGAGATGAAAAGAAAATATCACTAAAGGTAGACAGTAGCAAAAGCATTTGATTTGTCATAAAGTGCTTCATGTGACATTATGAGCTACCTGGTGGTTTCGCTTCCCACTTACAACACAAACATACAAAGCTCACACTGCACAGGGACACTAACCATCTTGAATAAAATGTTGGTTACAAGAAATAATTTCTGTAAGATCTATATGATCTATAAGATCCACTTGCAACAGACATTCAGGGAACCGTTAAATACAGATATAAATATAGCTCTTCCATCAATAATAAAAAAAAAAGATAAAGACAAAGCTAAAAAACTACTCTTTAGGCATGAGCCTCATGCTCCTGGGAGCAGGACTGCAGTGACTGATCTGATCTGGCACAGCCTTTAGTGAGATGACTTGTCAGAATGTTGTTGTGCGTGATGTGTATTGCAAGTAAAAGATGTGACTGTGATTGTTCCACAGCCAGGATAATGTCTGTGATTCTACCAATTCAGTGAGAATGACGATTTATCTTTGGACCCCTCTGGCAAAGAAGTGTGTCAGTGACCAGCAGGCAACCTGGACATGGTCACACAGGCATATGCATCTCCGAGTACTCATCCTGTCCCTCCCTTACATCAAACTTGGGCTCTGCGTCCTCTGCATCAAGCTGTGAGAAAAACAAACAAAATTTGGAATGTTATGACATAGTTTAAGAGGTCGCAATGAGTGCGTTTACATGCACTCAATATACAGATCATAACTGGATTTCTGCAGTTATCTGATTACTGAAATGGTCATGCAAACAGCATACACCGATTTCTCAGATCGGAGTAAGGTCTAGAAATCCGATTAAGAGAGCTGGAATTCAGCTCAGTGCATGTAACTCTTCCTCAGATTTCTTTCGAACTTCTCAGTCTGCGCACGTCCGAAAACAGACTGCGGTACCGGAAATCAGCAAGCAATGTTGCCACAAGATGGCAGCAAAACACTTTCGGAGTGACGCTGAAACCAACTAGATGCTCGATGAAACGAAGGATTTAAATATTCTTCATCTTTTACATGATGCATGTTCACATTTTCAGGTAAAGCGCTGCAATGTTTAAAGAAAAAAAAAGTTCGAGTTTTACATTACGTTTATGCCACGTTGTCTTCTGTTTATTGGCTGGCTGCAAAGCAGAAATCTAATTACTGCCTGACTCATGTAGACCTGGAGTTTCCCGTTATCTGATTACTCAAGCGCATGTAAACGTGTTGATCGGATTACTGACAAAATCTTATTTTCTGCAGTTATTGGATTATAAAGTGCATGTAAACGCACTCAATATGATCATAGCTGGGGTTTAAAGGAATAGTACAAAAAAAAAACCTACACCTTTTTCACCATACCCCAAACGTAGTCAATCAACAAAAATATGTAAGAGCTGTAACACTAATGTAGCCAGTAAGTACCAGCACTGTACGAACTAATGAATTAACTGAATCTCTCCTTAAATAGACTTGCTTTCTGAAACTGTATGGCACACTGTTGTCTATAATTAGCAAAATGACGATTTAGGCGTGCACTTTGTGCAGTGGTAATTGGTGGCTTATAAGCTACCATTACTTGTTGTCTACATTAGCCTCGTAGTTCCAGCGCAAAACTAAAGAAGCAAATTCACACACCGCTGATTTTTTTGCCAAACTGGCGCAAATATTTTTAACCCTAAAAAAGGGGCGCACTCTGAAGAACCACAGGTTTATGCAATCATACGGTATGCAAAAGAGAGTGGGGCACAACCTAACACGGTGTTAAATGTAACAGATTTTTAAAATTTAGTTAAACATGTTGAAGTAAAACATGCTTCTAGCCACTTTCTCATTTTACCTTAGCCACATTATCTATGAAGTCTAACAGCTGTCTGACATATTTCAAGATTTATAATGAAAACTGCTTTTATATCCTAAAAGTATTTCTGTTTTCATTATACACTTTTCCAATTACAGAGTTGTGTCTTTAAGACACAGAATTCACACCTATATTAATTTATTCACCTTCTCAGTGGTTGCAATACAGCACAGTTTTGAAGCATATAAACCATGTAGCAGTGAGAGTTAGAAGGTTAAAAGTATGCCTTCCACATGGGGGTGTTAGTTATAACATGGTATTTCAACTAAACCTCCTAAAGTAACAATTTCCCCCATATACCTTCAAATCAAATGTATTATAGATGTCATATTTTACTTTTTTATATTTTTCAAATAAAATATTTTTCAGTTTCGTCATGCTGATAATTGCTGTGCTATTTTTAGTCAAAATAAATTTGCCAGTGATATTCACCAAAGGACTGTTTTGAATCAATTGTGTTTGCATCAATTTACCAGACTTTCCTGTTACAACCCCAGCTACAGAATAAAGTTGTAATATTTTTACTCACATCACTTTTGGCTGAGTTGTTCACAGTGGTGCTCTAAACAAATGTTTGAGTTCATAGCAGATGTGTACATTAAAAAAAAAAAAACAACTAGTAATCTTGCTCAAACATTTAACATTTTAAAGAAGTCTGCTCTTCCTGGGATATACACATATAAAACATATAAAAACAGCTTTATAAATCCCTGTGTTTTAAGTTAAACAAATACACAACAGTACTTGCTGACCATGTGAACAACACTTCACAATTGCACTTTTACAGTCTTAGTTTTATCTAAAGGTTTCTCTAAGGCAGTGGACCAGAGGAAAACTCACACACTGCAACTCGCGATAGTTGAAGATCCGTGGGAGCAGGAACTTCCTGAGGGGCACCGTAAGGATGAGCAGAAAGGGAAAGGCTAACGAGGCCACAGTGGTCATAACGGCCCAGAGCACAGCCAGACACACCATTTGGATACCAGTGAAAAGGTGCATGCGTAGAGTACGCACCTGAAATAGACAGGTCAAAAGGTTAATGACGTGTGATGGAATATTGGCAAGTCCTAATTTATCAGTGCAAATCCTAGCCTGATGACTTTTAGTCCCACCCCTACAATTCACACCTTAGGCTAACCCAAACCCAGACCTGAAACAAAGGAAAAGCACAAAGTAACGACATCGAATTATCATTATTGCTTTATCATGCAAGCAGAACATGGTACTTATTGACTATGTGTGGACAGTGTGGCGAGGTAGCCGTGCCCTTAAGGTGACTGACCTTGCGCACGTAGGTGTGGTCCGGGTGGTATTTAGGAGGCATTAGCAGCAGCATCATGCGCTCAGTCAGCTGGATGCCGTTGAGCGACATCACCCCCATGTACAGGAAAATGCCAAAAAGCACAGCGATGGGGATCTGTCTTAAAACGTCTCCAATCACAATAGAGAGACCTGTGGAGACATCGGGAAAGACGTGATTAGTGTTTACATCCTCAAATATCCCCCCTTTTTCAGCACCAATACTAAAAAGAAGCCTACCAACGAGAACTGCTACAAGAAGTCCAGTCACTCTCTGCTCCTTCACTTCTTGGATGCGGGGTTTATCACCAGGGGCGACAGCCTTGCTCATGACTGTGAGGGCGTTGGTGTGGGTCACAGAACGCACTGTGGCAGCAGCCAACCATGGGAGGCCGAACAACGCTGAAATCCCCCCCACAGCCACAATGATCAGCAGGTCTAAATGAAAGCCAGAACCCTTCACCAACATCCTCTCTTTCTTACTTACAATCAGTCTGAGAGAGAGAAAGAGAAAGAAAGAGAGAGAGAGAGAGAGAGGGAGAGAGAGAGAGAGACTTACAAACATAGAACAGAACTTGACAGCACATCAGATACAGTGACAGAGAACTAAAGGACTTCAAAGAAAAATCAGAAAAATTAAAATCAGAAATGGTAATCAAAGAAGCATAAGAACAAATTAGAGCAGAGGTTTCTTAACCCTCTTCCTGGGGACCCACTATCTTATATAGATTCAACGGTTAACTGCCTCAACACACCTAATCCAGCTCATCGACTGATTATCTACTCCTTCATGAACTGGTTCGGATGTTTAGAGCCAACAAATAGTTGACACCATGCAAGACACAGTGCTGTGATTGGTTCACGTGCTTCCTTTCGCTTCTATACGGGAAAGGCTAACGAGGCCACGAGTGGTCATAACGGCCCAGAGCACAGCCAGACACACCATTTGGATACCAGTGAAAAGGTGCATGCGTAGAGTACGCACCTGAAATAGACAGGTCAAAAGGTTAATGACGTGTGATGGAATATTGGCAAGTCCTTAATTTATCAGTGCAAATCCTAGCCTGATGACTTTTAGTCCCACCCCTACAATTCACACCTTAGGCTAACCCAAAACCAGACCTGAAACGGTTAACTGCCTCAACACACCTAATCCAGCTCATCGACTGATTATCTACTCCTTCATGAACTGGTTCGGATGTTTAGAGCCAACAAATAGATGACACCATGCAAGACACAGTGCTGTGATTGGTTCACGTGCTTCCTTTCGCTTCTATACGCTCCTTCAGATCCCAAAAGCAAACAACAACAATGGAACCTGTGAACTTTCATGATCACATCTTTCTTTAGTGGGGCAGCATTGAGGGTTAAAAAAATGTCTTAATTCTTTCATCTCCAACCTGTTTGTTAAAACATGACACATCGACCTTTCAGCGTCCTGGTCCAAGCCTCCACTGGATGAAGCCTAAACTGGCTCTTGTGGCTCTGAGAGCTGGGGCAGGGGTTAGATTTAGCAATGAAATAATCACTACGATAATGAAAGGGAACGGTTTGGATTAGATTCAAACTTGGACATCCCACCAATGTAATTTCTTTTCATGTGTGTTGAATAGGTTTATCAGGTCTAAATTACTTACATTGCCACGTCAATGATCTGCATTGTAAACACACGCACAGTTGTGCGGAGGTGCTGCCGCCATGTTTGTGCTTTAGAACGTAACTGCCATGAAACAATCAAAAAATAACTTTATTTCACTGATTCACTGTTTTGTTCTCGCTAATGCCACTCCCTCTCTTCATTCACTCTGTAGCTTAATCGACCACGACTGCTTTCTCTCTCATTGAGCTGGAGGGGCCAGCTTTAAATGGTACACTGCTCAGGCATAACATTATGACCACCTCCTTGTTTCTATGCTCAGTGTCCATTTTATCAGCTCCACTTACTATATAGGTGCACTTTGTAGTTCTACAATTACAGACTGTAGTCCATCTGTTTCTCTGCATACTTTGTTAGCCCCCTTTTACCCTGTTCTTCAGTGGTCAGGAGCCCCATGGACCCTCACAGAGCAGGTACTATTTGGGTGGTGGATCATTCTCAGCACCGCAGTAACACTCGCGTGGTGGTGGTGTGTTAGTGTGTGTTGTGCTGGTCTGAGTGGATCAGACACAGTTTTTAAACTGTGTCCACTCACTGTCCACTCTATTAAACACTCCTACCTTGTCAGTCCACCTTGTAGATGTAAAGTCAGAGACAATAGCTCATCTGCTGCTGTGCAGTTTGTGTCGGTCATCCTCTAGTTCTTCATCAGTGGTCACAGGATGCTGCCCACAGGATGCTGTTATTGATATTTTTGGTTGGTGGACTATCCTCAGTCCAGCAGTGACACTGAGGTGTTTAAAAACTCCAGCAGCACTGCTGTGTCTGATCCACTCAGACCAGCACAACACACACTAACACACCACCACGCAAGTGTTACTGCATTGCTGAGAATGATCCACCACCCAAATAGTACGTGCTCTGTGAGGGTCCTGTGGGGTCCTGACCACTGAAGAACAGGGTAAAAGGGGGCTAACAGAGTATGCAGAGAAACAGATGGACTACAGTCTGTAATTGTAGAACTACAAAGTGCACCTATATAGTAAGTGGAGCTGATAAAATGGACAATGAGCTTAGAAACAAGGACATAATGTTATGCCTGATCGGTGTATGTCTAAACAGCAATGTACAAATCCCTCTCATTCTGCCATTAATGAATCTAAAGTGACAATGTCTATCTCTTGTCACTAGCTGGTTCTCACAGTTCACGTGGGGAGTGAAGTGGATTTAGAGCAGGCATTGAAATTTGAGCTACTACTACTCAACTGTCATTCTAAAGCTTTAGAAAGGTAGTTACAGGCGTGCTCTGTATTGAAAAATCTTTGCTTTAAAATGTGAGTGCTCTTTGGAATCAAGGGGCATTTCCTAACAGTTCAGCTAGGACATGTCAATATAATTTTAATTTAAAGAGTGCCTTGGTGTGGAGAGTATTTTCCCTTTCTTCTTCCTCATTGTCATTCTTCCACTTCCCTTGCAATGAGAAAGAGGATGAAATGGCTGCAGTTGATAAGGTGAGCTACAATTTTTAAATGAATGAGGAAAAATAGTGTTTGGTGCCAGTGAGCCTGAACATTAGCTACCTAACCTTGCTAACACTAGCATCCACTGACAAAAGCCAAACTGGCCCTTTGCAGATACCCTTGATATAGGCTATGGGCCCACTGGCGCCAAACTTTGTTTTCCTTCCTTCCTTTAAGAATTGTAACTTACCTTATAAACTGTATCCATTTCCTCTTCTCCTTCTCATTGCAAGGAAAGCAGCAGAATGGCGATTGAGTAGTTTCTGGACTCTATTCAAACATCAAGGGACACAGTACTGCTGCACGTTGAAAAGACGAGAGCCTCAGCCAACACAGTAGAGGCTTGGACTTGGACGTGATGTATCAGCAGGTCACGTCTTAACAAGCGGATATTATTAAAGAAATCAAGGCACGCATGAGATGGAAGGGGATAGTGGCTCACGTGGTGATCTGTGTCTCCATGAAGATGAGGATGAAGACGAGCAGGGCAGGCAGAATGCTGGCAGCCATCATCCAGATGGGGAACTGGCCATCAGAGCCCAGTGGGTGGATCACCCAGCCACGTTTTTCTGGGCTGGTCACATTGAAGCCATCAGGCACACTCAGCTTCTGTGGAGAGAAAGGAGGAATTCTAGTAAAATAGAGCATAATGAAGTAAGGCATCAATTAAAGTTGGAGGGTGGATGTTGCTCTCTTCAACCTCAACTTCTCTTAGCCAACTATGATGCAAACAAGGGCTTAACATTTTGAGGAAACTATCTAATACTGTGACTGCTATTTAAATGCGATTATTTTATACACATCAGACTTAAACACTGAATGTAGTGTGCTCAACTGACATATTTTCCCACTAATAATGCAGGATGTTATTAAAATTGGCAATAATGTAGAATATAATTAAAACTGCAGCTCTTGACATCTGAAAACTGCAGCTCTTTCACATGGTGATTTTGATACAAAAACGATTAATTGTTCAAACCAATGTGAACTTTGATGAAATAATGTATGAAAATGGGGTATAAAGGGTTTTCACCTGGGTGAAGGTGTCTTTTATGCTGTAGTCCACCAAAACCATGATGAAGATTGCAATAGGAACTCCAAAATCTCCTATTACCCTGCGAAGCTTAGACACAGAAGAGATGCATTTTATAAATTAATAATAATGTAATAGTTAGACTATCACTTTTTAGTGTGTTTTCTCCATATCTTATCCATTAACAAAACTGAGGCATTTCTGAGATGCAAAAAGCAGCTTACACGGCCAGGAAAGAAGGCACTGTTCTTGAATTTGCGCAGATAGAAGGCAATGAAGAAGGTTCCCGACATGAGCACCAGCGACAGCAGAGCTGTGTTGGGCTGGTTCAGGACTTTCCCAGGGGTGTCCGCAGAGCTACTAAAGTTGCTATGTAACTGCGGTGTGGTGTCGTTTGGTGTTGTGCTGTTGCAGGGCCTAAGAGGGTGGTCCTTAAAAATCTGTGTGAGAAGAGATGAGGGCAGTTAGAATGTCTTCAAGACTATAGACTATAGTTATTGTTTCTACTACTACTACTACTACTACTACTATTATTATTATTATTATGGACAGTTTCTACCTTGAAAAGCTTTGCAAAGGTCTCGTAGATGAAGATGAGGGAGATGAGGAAGGAGAAGATCTCCTGGGTGAAGCGGGAGACAAAGCGTACCAGGAAGCTTCCCTCAAAAGCCACCATAAGCACCACAATGATGACCAGCCAAAACCCAATCCATACACGGCCTGTTAGGTACTCCATTCCATAGGACTTGCAGAACTACCACAAACATAAGGCAGTTGTGTGAAGGATTTTGCAAAGGAAAGCTGTTAAAGGTGCAGGTGAATGGTTATATAAGAGCATGCTAAGAAACTCACAGAAAAAAATGCTTCTTCAAACACCAGTAGTGGCCCAGAGAAGCCAACCACAAGGAGCGGCTGAGCACCCAGCAGACAGAACACGATTCCCTGCATTGCAGTGGCGATGATAAGCTCAGAGACACCAATCAACCCCCCAGTCTTTTCACCTGCAAGGAAGAAAAGGTACAAAAAGATTTTTCATAAAGCAGTGGTTCCTGGAGTACCCTGGCCTGGACATTTTAGAGCTTTTCCTACTCTACCACACCCTATTCCTCAGGAAGGGCTTTGTAATTAGCTGACTTGTTGGATCCAGTGCGTTACAGCAGGGAAAACACCAAAATATGCAGGGCTGTACCAGCGTTAGCAATCACAGTCAAACAATACAAGCAAATATTTCACTCAAAACAATCACGACATGTCAAACCAACTAACCTAAAAGTCCTCCAAAGGTGATTGCAGGAGAGAGGGCAGCAAAGTAAATGAATATGACAGCAGCCATGCACTGAGGGTTGAGGGCATCCTTGAAGTCACTGATGTATTTGGGATAACGGTTTTGCGCATCCCGAATCATACCACCAAACATGCGGCCTGTTCTCCGAAGGGGATCATCTCGGGGTTTAAATGGGGGCAAAAGAGCTGGACAAAAGTACAGGAAAAAATTACAAGTTTATCACCAGAAATGAGGAAAAACCTCACAAAACAAAAAAAAAAGTGTACATGAGTGTTTGCATCTGTGTCTTTGCGTTGTACCTTCATCCTCAGGGCTCTTGGGCTCTTTGGCCTGTAGCTTGACCTCTTGCTCATGTCTTTTGCGCAGCATCTCTCTTTGGAAGCGAGCTACTGAGTGGAGCAGCTCGTCCCCACCCACTTCAGAGGGAGGGAGTACGATACTGCAATCCAAGAAGCTGTTAATAGCCGTCAGCAGGTCCTGCCGTTCATCTGCCAGATACGCTGCCTCATGAAAGTGCTGACAGACAAAAAGACACCGGGTTAAGTGGCATAAAGGCAAATTAATTACAGTCAAATTGGAAGAAACAGTGGTTTTATTAGACAAGATCATGTATTTGTCATGCAGAGGGACGCATCCAAATGTGTCTAACTTGATATAAGATATACTTCAAGCTTGTGATGCACTGTTACTATCAAGCTACAGTCAGTTTAAATAATACTGTGAAGCTAAACTCAATGAATTGTCTCATCTTCCCTTGCGAAAAAGAAGCATACTTAAGCATACTTACATTTTTAAAGATGCTTTAGTACATTTTTGTTGCATTTTAGTTACAATATAAGTCGAACTATTAAATCAAATATGGCCATCAGGACACTCAAGAGTATACATTTAAAATATGTTTCAAGAGTAGCAATATTTCTGTCTTAACAAATACTTAAGTTGACTTCACTGCAACATAAGTTGTTTCAATTAAGAACACTTGTAGGGATAGACAATGTATTTCAACACTACTTAAATATAATTTAAGTTAGAATAATTTGTGTTTAGTTATTCTTGATAAGATATTTAAATGTATACTAAATTATGTTTTATTACAAATATATCAAAATAAATGCATTTTATTTGTTGAATGTATATTCAGTGATATTTAAACCTAAATTAAAATGCATTTAAGCTCCAGTGGTTCATTTATAGTATATTCCAAGTGTAAGAAGAGTTATGTCTTCAAATTGCATAAGTGCAACTTAAGTTGTTACAAACACACTCAAAAGCACAACTAAACGCATTTAATATATATTCAATCTAAATTACAATTGTAATTTAAACACACCTAAGTGGTCATTAAAAAGTTTTTAAAAAAGTGTAAACTTGTGTACTTTTGATTATTTAATACACCATTTAATTATTAAATTATTTAATACATATAGTACATGCATTTTAATAATTAATTAAATAAATAAATGCATTTTTCTTTCACAAAAGTTACCTTATCAGACATAAGAGTAGATATGGAGCGGCCGATCTGGTGGTAGTCCATGTTCGCGATAGGGGGACCCAAAAGGACAAAGAGAAAGCGCACTGGTATTGGCACCTCCAGAACCGACTCCAACAGAACTGCCTCCTGCAGCCGCACAAAGGCCATGGATGGCTGGTCCAGGAAGTCCACACTGCCTGTGGAGATTCATATCATTTAAAAAAATCACATCATTCCATTCACCTGGTGTAGCGTCACAAATCACTAAATCAACCAAATTATCAGGCATGACCTTTTATATTAGCTGAGTTTCAGGTTTTTTTTATATTCTTAGTAAGTAGTAGTAGTATTTTCTCACTAGTGTACCTGTATACTATTCATTTAAATATGTCAACATCTGAATAGCAAAAATTATTAAGCCTTGTGTGGTGTTGGGGTCTGTGGGACCCAATTTCAATGTTTGCAAAAAGAAAAATTGATGCTATTTATTTATTATTATTATTTCAACCCCAGACTCTATGACCTTTGCTCATTTTCTGTGAGAAACATATAAAAACACATTTTTAATAACTTCACACTGTACACACCCTACACATTTATATTACACGTGGTGTTGGGGTGAACCCGCAGGGAATAAAAATGTGGAGGTGCTGTGTCCCTTCACTCTGTTCTCCTCATACATGGCCTGCTGTTAGTGTGTGTGTGTATATATATATATATATATATATATATATATATATATATATATATATATATATATATATATATATATATGTATATGTGTGTGTGTGTGTGTGTGTGTGTGTGTGTGTGGACAACATGGACAGGCTGCTGACTGGCTACAGCTGCTAAAGGAGAACCCTACTTGCCACTTGTGATATTTTAAACGTCTGGTATTTTTACATAAATTGTTATGGCTGTTTAACCAATAAACCAATAATGCAGTGGGTCCACTAGACCACTGAGTAACAGAAACATGAACACCACACAAGGGTTGAAAAGTCCATCCCTATTTGGAATGTTATGTAGTGGAAGCCAACTGACCCACAAGCACGACCGTGGCCTCTGCATTTTCTGGGATTTTTTCCAGAAGCTTGAGCTCATGCTTCGATTTAGATCTGTGCATGCCCGACATTGAAGTATCTTTCTGCAGAAACACAGACGACCAGTTATATATAAAGATAAACACATAAGCAGTCTATCTCAGTCGCACGCACATACGCAACTACCTGCAGTACTTCATTCTTCTCGATGTCGACGCGAGTTTGTGAGTCGGAGTCGCCAGTTCCTGCTATAAGTGGGTCTGTGGCAGAAGGTTCTGGAGGGGCGATGTGATTGTTGCTGTTGTGATGGACCATCAGAGAAGCCAGGCTGGCTGCTGAGATGTTTCTGTTGAATGAGCTGTGCTCCTTTCCATCAGTCGGGTGGCTGAGAGGAGAGAAGAGAGCAGATAAGTTTCAGTCACACCTCACAGCACAAATGTGTGGGAGCTGTTGTGTGTATGTGTATGTGTATGTGTATGTGTGTGGGTGTTAACCTGTGTTTGAGCAGCAGAGCTCGGAGCACATTGGCTCTGTCTTCTGCTCTGATCTGGTCAGAGATGATCATCTGTTCCACCACTTGGTGAGCAATGCCAGGCAGGGTCCTCTGGTCCAGGTCCAACAGCACAGCACCTGCTCACAAACACAACTAATCTCAGTTCCCATAATCAAATACTCAACAGGTGTGTAAAATCTCTGACCTTACAATTCAAATCAATTAGGATTCTTCAGGCAACTATTTATTGCATCATAAAATCTCAAATTTTGATTAAGAATGATTGTTAACACATCGAATAACCAAATAACTCGGAACTATTTATAGTCAGTAAATACAGACAATGCATAAAAAAACACAAAGCTTTAAGTTCTAATCATGTTTATTTTCAAGAAGTGTCGTATTTATATATTTATATAACCAAAATCATATTGCAATTTTTAAAATTAAATACTTTTTTAATATTGCAAAACATAATTGTAAAAAGTTGTGATATGTGAAATGCTAAGAAAAACAAAAAGTAGTGATCAGTGAATTCTGTTTAGCCTGCTATAAACTAATAACACCATAAATAATATGTAAATGTTTTCCCCTATGAACTTCATTGGTTTTTTTGTAAGTATACATGTCTAAAATTTGCTATGTGTAACATGTTCCAAAAAAGTTGGGACAGGAGCATGTTTACCACCATGTTACATCAACTTTCCTTTTAACAAGACAAAAAAAAAATCATTTGACGACTGAACCGTATGACATCTTCACTGTCGTATTTTGTGTTTCATAATGTACCACATTTTCAGGGGAAGACAGGTCTGGACTGCAGGCAGGCAAATCTAGCAGCCACACTTTCTGAATACATAACCATTCTGCTGCAACACATGCAGAATGTGGTTTAGCGTTAGTGAAATAAGCTCAGGCTACTCAGAAAAGGACAAAATCTAGAAGGCAGACTATGTTGCTCTAAATGTGTTCAGCCTTCACAGATGTGCAACTTATGCACCAATACCCCCCATACCATGACAGACCACCAGTTTTTGAACTTAACACTGGTAACAGTCTGGATGGTCTATTGAACACTATGTCCATTATTTAACATAAACATTCTGAAAGTTTGACTTGTCGGACAACAATATATGTTTCTGCTGTAAATCGATCAATTTCAGATAAGCTCAAACCCAGAGAAGTTGCAGTGTTTCTGGACATTGCTGACATATGGCTTCTGCTCTGCATAGCACAGTCTTAACTTGCATTTGTGGATGCAGTGATAAACCGTGTTTATTGAAAACATTTTGTCATGGTATTCCTGAGCCCGTGTGGTCATATCCGTCATAGAAGCATGCCAGTTTTTAATGCAGTGCTGTCTGAGGGACCGAAGGTCACAGGCATTCAGTCATAGTTTTTGCCCTTGCTTTTTACACACAGAGATTTCTCTGGTTTCCCTTAGTCTTATGCACCACACAGCGTGAAACGCCTAAAATCCTTACAATTGCTCACAATGTTGCCTTTATACTGCTGGATTATTCTCTGCCACATTTTTTGGCAAGTGGCAAGCCTCGACCCATCCTTGCTCGTAAAGGACAAGGCATTTCCTAGATGCTCCTTTTTATAGCCACACATGACTGTATCACCTGTTTAGGATGTTTTTTCGAACATTTAACAACATTCCTAGTCTTAAACTGCCTGTCCCAAATTTTTGGAACGTGTTGCAGGAATCAATTTCAGAATACATATAAAAAATACTGACTTTGTACTTCGTTTTCATTTAAATACAGGTCAAAAATGATTTACAAACGACTAAATTTTGTTTTTCAATTTGCGTTTCACATGCTGTCCCAACTTTTTTTGAACTGATGTTTGTATTAAGGTCAATTAAGTAGACCTTCAGAGGCATCTTAATACCCTAATGCACTTTTACTCACCTGCTACTAAGGAAGGGGAAACACTGTACTGAAGAGATACCACTCCATAGTCCATACCCAAAACTCTCATAACTGGACGTAGCTGTCTATGGCTTTGGGTTCTGTGTGTGTGTGCTGCTCACTAGGCTCCAGCCTTGTGCTTACCGTGTGAGATGGTCCTGCGGAGCTCAAGCAGGCTGCGGAACGACAGCGAGGCAACATGAGGTTTGCCCCAGCGATCCGTCTCCTCCTCTACGTCTTCCTCAAACTTGATCCAGCGAGCAGTTTCTCTCCACTGCATCTCCTGATTCTTATCCATCACCAGCTCGTTCAGCTCCACAAACACCTGAGAATCAACCCACACAGACAGTTTAATACACACACAGTGCTGCCAAATGACAGGATTGCTAATTTATTAACAAACATGCTAATGTTTATGTCACTATATCTACCTTGGTTTCACTGTGCTGAGATTTAAGATATAGAATAAAGCCTGAAGGACTAAAAGCTGCTGGTTAAAGATGCATTTTCAGGATTCCAAATCAGAATCCAGTTCATTACAACTGGCAAATACAACCCAAAACAAACAACATCTGATAATCTGCACACCCATGCATGTGGAAACCTCAGATCATGTGATAGTTCATATTTTTGCTCGAACTAATCAAGTCTTTACATCTAGTCCACTCTGCACTGCAGATATTAGTTAGACAATCTCACAGTTAATAGTAAACCAACAGACATCCCATGAAGTATTATGCACAAATTACAGCATATTTTTGGTTATTTTAACATGCTGCAACTCAGCCAAATGAAGAGAATCTGATACTCTTACCAAATAAATCCTTACGACTGTAAAAGTTTCTTAATGTAGCCACAACATTAGGCACAAAAACATGCTGAGAGTCATCTTGACACACGCACGCACAAACACTCAAGTCATGGTGTGAGGTTAGAAGCAAACCAATAAAGGTGAGCATATACAAGCCTAAGCAAACCATTGGTCTCCCAATCCACTCAGCCGTGCTCCAAGCAGCCGTACCTTGAGCTGCCGGGCCATTCGGACCCTGCTGTAGTCCGCAGCGCGAGGCCACGATCTCCTCTGATAAAAACAGCAGTCTGAGTAAGCCATCTCAGTCCAGCAGGGGCCCTAACCCACTAACTGAGCATGATGACAATGCAACTTGAATTTATTCTCCTGAACCCACCAGAAGGCACCAGAACAGGGTAGAAATACCAATACTAATCAAATATAGAGTCACGATAAAGGTAAAAGAATATCTGTCAAGTGAACGGACATACATGTCTAGCTTGTGATCAAATCTTGCAGGCTGGCAACATATATACCCTACTACTGTGTAGACACCCATTGATATCGGACAAGGAGAGCATTATTATTCAGGAGAGTGTTATTTTTATCTCCTCTGTAAAATATATTACATTCTTTTTGAAATCATAGGTAAAAGCACGGTGTTGGGCAATAGTTTGCAGTCGTGGCCCTGGAGTATTTTCGTGTTTCCCCTTCTCCAACACAGCTGATTTAACTAATTAATAAGCTCTTCTAACAAGAAGAAACTGTTTAACTATGCAGGACAGCTGTACCACTGCTGCAGAGAAAAGGAGTAACCTCCAGAAGGGCCTCACCTCGTGTGGGGTTCTGTCCAGTTTGCGGCTGCGGCCGCTGGGTTCTTTGTGGTCCTTGCTGATGTGAACCACCTGACCTTTACTGCTCTTCCTGACCAGGTGACGTCGCACACCGGGGACATCTTCAAATCGATGACCTGGGACAGACACACAGAAACAAGAAAGCGTGTGAGTGCATTAAAAACATTAGAAGCATATCTACATAATGGACGCTCTGCTAATTAAAACAATATTACATACCATAGGCCAGGTATTGATTATCAAGTTGGAATTAGCTAGAACGGACACAGCATCCTCTGAATGTTCCTGCAACTGCCCTCACGGGACTGATCAACTGAGCTCACCAAATCTCTTGCCTCCGTCTCTAACCTCTGACGTTAGAACATACTTCATTCTGTCTGCACAGTCAAAGTAAACTATTGTTCGGTCAGAGATTTAGAATTGGATGTGTGTACAGCTCTCTCCCTCACACACACACATACACACACACACACACACACACACACACACACACACACACACACCCCAACAACAAAAGAGAAGTAGAAGTGTGTGTACAGTTGTCGTGGGCAGCTTTGGACGCTTATAAAATGACCACATTCTTGAATCACTGCCACAGATGGTCAGATAGAATGACTGAAAATTATTTATTCTAGAAGAGCGCAAGACTGCATGTCAAAACAACCCTTTATAAAAATGTGCAAAAGAGGTCAAGAGTCAACAAGGAAACATTAGTGAGCCCCAAATTTGAAACAGACGTAACATGTTTGAGAAAAGAAAACAAACAGCTCATCTGTGATACGTCCTGCTCTAAAGGCTGATGACTAAATACTTGAAGTTTGTTTCTAAAGACAAAGAGAAACAATGAAGTTGATTTTAAACAGTTTACAGTAGACAACAGGTTCTCGGCATATGTGTACTTCCTCTAAGCCTTCTGGAAAAGCAACTCAATTAACTCTTCATAATGTTACTTGAAAGAATGCCAAGAGTGTGCAAAGCTTTCTAAAAAATACTTTGAACAACCTAAAATATGATGTAATATAAAGTCTTCATAGTCACCATATTTTTCTTCCAAATTTTAGAAATACACACGTCTAAACATAGGACTGGCACTAAACAATTCACTCTCACACTCACACACACACACACACACACACACACACTTACTTACTCTTAATGCCATCTAGATCAACAGTGGCCAGCATCTGTGCCTCACTCTCGTCAGTGGGCACGTATTGGTAGCGAGAGAGCTCAGTGCCCGTCAGGTCACCAGTGCAGCGACGCTCCTGCAGGTCATAGCTGCGGCCTGGCTTGAAGCTGCCCTCAGGAGAGCCCAGTGGGAACACACAAGGCACAGAGGATCTCCTGCCGTTGGCCTGCATAACCACGGAGTCTGCATCTCTACAGAGGTCAAAAGACACAGTGATCAGTCTGTTTTTCAGTTATGTAAGAACAAAATACATTAAAAGCTTTTGTTGCCATAAAATTCTGATACATGATTTCACCATTTTTTTTCTAAACTGTATTCCAAACAACGGTTCAAAGGACACATTGAAAATATTTTGCCTCAAAGGTGGTTTAAACAGCTGAAATGTTTGAATGTGGACATCACAGAAAGGAACGGGCCTTTGAGTACCTTCATGTCGATTATTTGCCAACACTCATCAGATAATTGCTTTGTCAAAGAGTACAGTCATACAATTTAGGTAGGATATGCTAGCCTGCTAATTTATACTGCTAATGTGACATTACATACATATGTTTTGCTTTTGGCCTCCTTAGATAAACTACTATTTTACACCGTAATTAAGGTTGGCTTATGACCAGATTTGATTGACCTCTCTAATAAATCTGGCCGCCAGTTACTTTAAACTGCTGCAGTAATACATGTCATTTTTGATATTTGCACAGTAGTATACAGTCTGAACTGATATCTTTTGGTTCTCTTGGACTATTAACGTGAAATAACAATTTCAAATGAGTACTTCTTTAACATGCGCACAGCAGCCTGCTCCTTTTTCTTGGTTTTGAATGAGCTGTTTAATGCTGGTTTATCCCATTAGCAGCACTGCCACCAGTAAAGCAGAACATTTTCGTGACTTGCAAGTGAAAAGGGACACAAGGGAGTATTCTCTTCATGGGATTGGTGGCATGTTGCTTGCAGTAAATGGCAAAAAATAGACTTAACAGCCATGTGCTCACATTTTATGTGGCTCTGTTTACACGAAAGGCAGAAAGTTCAGACACAGTCGAAACACCAGAACTGCATATTTGACACTTTTTCACATTCCACTGTAAAATTGCTCCATATTTCAGATATTTAAATGGCTTTGTTGACTTCTGCAAACATTGCCAAAGGTTGCAGATAACGTCAGTTCATGGCACCTCAATGACAGCAGCATAAACTGAGAGCAGAACATAAAACAATGGATTGGAAGTGGATCAGGCTTATTTTAGTCGACATCCAATGCATTAAAATGTGCCTGGATTGACTCTATGCCAGTCCAGTTGATCGAATCGAGACTTTAGTATGAAGTATGGCACTATTTGCAAATTAGCACTTTCAGTTTTGCAGATGGCAAAGATCTCAACAGCCTTCTTTATAATATGACAAAATGACATGACATGTTACTGCAAACACTGCACTCACTCAGTCGTGGTGGCGTCCTCTGGGGTGTTACTGCTGGAGAGCACGGCTGACTCAGGAACGATGATGAGCTGTCGTGATGGAGAGCTCAGATCACCTCGAACCACAGTGGAGCTCCCGGACTCTTCATCACACATATAGAACTGTGAATCAAACAGACAGAGAAGAGGAGGCAGAAACGTCAAGACTGCACACTGTGCGCATGTGTGGCCACATATTTAGCTCTGTAGAGATCAAACGTCCCCAGCATGATGGAATACGTGAAACTTCTGACCAAAACATATATTTATTTGGAACAGTAATAGCCAAAAGATTTCACATTGGTTAATGGTGTGAAAGTTAGGGCCAGGCTGGGTGCAGGCAGCAGTACTCTTTCTCAGTAAACAAAAGTCAGTGCAATTATCCCAACAGTCCACCAACTTACAAACTTTTGAACTCCCTCGGTCAAATTACACATTTTGTTGATTTTCTAAGAAAAGAAATTACCACATCCTCTACAGAGAGCACATTTAATTTTTTTCTGCACATTTTAATGCACCATTTCTATTTTTCTGCTGAGCTCAACATACTGTGAAAATTAAACATTAAACATGAAAATGTTCGCTCAAGGGCCGCTCAAACTTTTTCCTACAACTACATGTGCAAAAGACAGGGAGAGAGCATGTTAATGCTAGAGCTGAGCGCTAACTGGATCCACCAACACCAACAATTCCGTTAGTTTTAAACAAGATTTTATGGCAACTGCACAACTCTTATTTGAGAAGAGTGCACAGTATAAACAGTTTAACAGCCTAATAGGCTGCAGTCTGTTCACCCATTTAAATAGAACAAAACGGCCACAAAATTTGATACTCAAAAATGGTGGTGTGTCCATACTTGAAAGACAATTTAGTTTTAAAGTCAATGATGTAGCACATTGAGTGGTAATCTGCAACTACTGTCCCAAAATGGTATTATTATTATTAAAAGGAAGAAACTACAACTGCAGTTTTTCTACTATTACCCTTTTCCCCCCCAAGAGGTTTTGTTGTAACAGCGACTCTGTACTCATAGCTTGTGTAGAGACCTGCACTGCGTCCGTGTGCGCATCTGTATCTGTATCAGGTGTAGGAGTGGTGGTGTTGCCGTCTCCATCTGGCTGGCTGTAGGACTCCTCCTCTCCTTCCTCCTCCTCCTCATCCTCCTCTATAGTTGGGGCAGTGCTGCCGCCGCCACCGCCGCCGCCGCTGCTGGCTGAGCCCCTCCTGCGACCGGAGGATTTCCTCTTACGTCCGCTCTTCTTCCTCCGGCCCTCGGAGGGCAGGTGTTTGGAAAGGGGGTGGTGGATGTGCAGTGAGGAGTGGCGGTGGTCTGAGAATGGCACAAACAGCACAACCATCAGGATCTTGACAAATATTAGCAACTACAAAAACACCAGTCTTGCAAACAATAAGAGGCAGTTCTCAGTTTCCTACATCCGCAAGTTCTCCTGCTATAAACTGATTTCCACACTTCAACCTCGTCTGGCAGGGTTTTGATTCGTTATTCGATATCGCCTTTAACAGCCTAGAATCTATTCATTTATCTAACGCCGCATTTTGAACGTTTGTGGTGGTTTGCCACAAGTATTTGGCAGGTGCTTTCAGACATACTGCTGAACAAAGTATTTTTATAAGCCTACATTGCTAATATTAGCACTACCAACCTAACTTCTTAGTCTAATTTGCCGAATGTTAGTCTAGTTAGATAGTCTAGTTACCTTGTTATGGCAAATCCAATAAAGTTTTGGGGATCCATAAATTGTTTTATTTAAAATATGAACTGATCGTTAATATTCATTAAAAAATATAATTTAAGTTTTTAAAAAACTATGTTCTTTACGTTCTTTTTGTCCAGATTCTGTGGGTATGATGAACAGTTTAGTGTCCTGAGAAAAGCACCCTACAATGCTGTAGAGAATGCCACAGTTGTACGGCTTTGCGCACACAGACATATTTTCATTCTAGTACTGTAGGACTCGCCCAGTAATTTCCACATTGTGGTATGTACCACAGTAACGAAGGAGGAATGCTGACTACAGCAATTCTTACACTCAAAGTCCTCCTCGTTGAAGGTACGGTGCTGCTCGGCGGGAACTCGCGGCGCAGGAGAGAGAATCTGTTGGAAACGCTGAACTCCCAGAGTCTTATTCAGGTCCCCATCATCGTCGTCTTCATCGTCGGCATGCCGTCGAGGGGGGAGGAGTACTGCAGCCGGCTAAAAGCAAAAAAGAATATGTGAAGGAAACTTGACTGAATGAGTCTCCTGACATGCTGAAACTAATTTTATACTTTCTGCTGCTTATTTCATTGTTTAAAATCCTAATAACTGTAAATTATGTGCGCACCTGTTTAAATCATGTATTTATATTCCCTTTACTTATATATTTAGGAATATATATTGTACAGAGATATGTCTATATTATAAGCTTATCAAAAAATCAAATAAAGGGAAAGGAATACTTGGACTCAGGCTGTGCTTCCACACAGAAATTATTAGCTGTCTAATAATATCTATTTTAAGAAAGAACTGCTGCAAAACACTGGAAATCACACCCAAAAAAATCATTACAGTAAAGACAGAAAAAGACTATGCAGTAGCCAGAAACTGAGACTAGAGGGAGACAAAACATTCACTTGATGGTCAAAATAAGAAGCACATGGCAACAGCTGCATTTCTCAACAATAAAACTGACATTTGAGCTACTCAAAGAAATAAATAAATAAAACTGCATTCCATTTATTTCACATTTATTTGCAGACCATTTACGACACTATTTTACCGTCAACTACTCCACCCAACTCCCAAGTTTACCAAACAACTCTGAAGATTCTACAGGGCTGAACCATAATTAAAGCCTCTCAACCTCCACTAATTGGATCCATGAAATACACAACATGTGACAAAAGATTTTTCTTCAGTGTGGATGCACTGGATCTCACTTTGTGTGTGTGTGTGTGTCTCCTTCTTTCTCTAATTTTCCTCCCCTGCTGTCCGGGTTATGTTATCACAGGGATTGTCTGTGGTCTGCGTGAGCGTGCTTTTTAAATGCTGTGTGTTTGGACAGGAGGCCCTCTCCAGGCGAGGCTCGCATTCCCACAGACAGCGGGCTGTGGCACATGCTCAGTGAGGAGCAGCCTGTGTCCTCAAGCTCGTCCCACTGACAGCGGAGCCAGAGAGAGAGAGTGACTCAGCACACCTACTGTGGTTCAATGCAGCAGAGCACTGCAGGTTCACCATCATTACTGACACGGCCCTAAATCCTCAGTCACGACACTTTCTGGAAAGAAACAACACACCTGAACAACGCAAGAAACATTTTTCTCATTTCTCAACACAAACCATTACACTATGACTGTGCAGCAGAAGGTCTGGCTGGTATTTGATTTATTCATCCTAAATGGAAGTGAAGATCCATTATGACCTCCAGAGTTCACTGTATGTCTAGTTAGCTTTACACATACAGTTCAAAGGACACCCTGGTCAAAATGAGAAATGCAACATTTGCTGCATGCATTGGAGAACATGCATTGGAGAACATGCGTTGGAGAACATGCGTTGGAGAACATGCGTTGGAGAACATGCTTACTAGCATCCGACAGCTGTGCCACAATAATCTCTACGTGTTAATGTATCTTTAAGAACTTTTCAAAAACTACAAGCAGTGCAGGATATAACTTTTCAGACATGTCATCTTACATTTTGATTGTACTGCCATTTAGCATTTGTTTATAAACCGTAAAACAGGAGCTACTCTCAGTACTGCTAACCATATAGCATTTATATATATTTGCCTTTTATATAATTAAATATTAAGATAATCCCCAAAGACTATAAGATCCAATTTTCAGTTTTATTACTCCAGACCTCTCTCACTGGTTAACATATTTGTTTAGCTTTTTAAAGATAGCCCACAGATCTTTATTTAGATCAAGGTTGCCAGGTCCAACAAAAATCTCCAACCGAAAGTTTGCTTAAAAGCCAGCCAACAGAAGCTGCAATTTTACTTGCCCAATTTGGAACGAAAACCTGGCAACCCTGAAAACCGATGCGCAAGCTGTACCAAACGCTCCACAGCTTAACAAAAGCAAGCGGTTCTACATGACCACCTCTGTAGGTGCGCATGCTCTGCCCTGATCATAACAGTGTGTAAACCTCAAATGGAAGATCTTTAGTGAGATCAAATTAAAACAAAGGGGACGAAAAGAGGCACAGTCATTTTACAAGGGTTTTAAGAACAGAGACACGCCATGTTAATCAACAAAGAGACCTACAAATTACATAGATATACAGAAGGAATGTAAAAATGTACGGCCTTTCCTGTGAAATGACACGTTCTGTTGATTTTCTAGGTGAAAATAAGTTCCACACATCCTCTACGGAGAACATACTTCTGCACATTATAATGTACAATCACTGTTTATTTACTGAATTTGAGCTTATGCAGGGTAGCGTAGTGAAACTGAATAGACGATGGGGGACGCAATGGTGTGCCATAGAATACTGCATAACACGACGAATAACACGCTGAATGCTACTTTTCGTCTGGAATGCCCCTAAATGAGTTTTCAGTGTTTCACACAGGTCTGAAACAAACCTGGAGGGAGCACTGTGGGAGGAGTGGGGGAGGTTCTTTTAAAGCAGGAATATCCAAACTCGTTGCATTTGCTTACTTATTCAGGAATTTGAAAAAGGCTTCAAATAAGTGAATGTTAAACCTTCCATGTTTTTCCTTTTTAGATGTGACCACCTGGATCACGGATTTGACTAAAGTGAAGAATTAGGTCATGGAAATGACCACTAGGGAGAAAAAGCAGTGCTTTACATCAGTGACACCGTGTGCCATTAGTTATTTATAAGAGTATAAAATATTATACTCTTATAAATCTTTGGAATTTGATAAAATGGGATGAAACGGAAAGTGAATATTTGGGGGCCCAAATATAGCCTTTGCGTGGGAAAACACTGCACTTTTAAAGAAATAATTTGTAAAAAAAAAAAAAATCGAATTAACATAATGCTTAAGAACAAGGTTGCTTCTTCAGTTTCTTGCTGGAGCTGTGTGTCTAATGTAGCTAACAAGGATAAGAAGCTTATGTACACCAATTAGCACCAACCTAGTCAAAAGTAAAGACAAACTTTACCATTCAAGATGACTGCTAGTACTGTTTTTAGCCATGTGATGTGCTATTGCTGGTTTTTATAGAGAACATTACGCCATACAGTGTCAGAAACCATAAAGTCTATTTGAGCTTATGTTGGTTTGAGGCAAACGATGATTTAAGCATGCAGTTTCCATAGTGCTAAGAAGTGGGGTCTGAGATTTCATTACTTGTTAGACACATTAGCCAAACAAAAATTTGAGAGGCAATTTGAGTATACTACTTTTTGACAAATTATTCCTTCAAGAAGAGACCCCAATACCTCAGACTGAACTTTACATTAAGTCTAAGTCTTGATGTTCCAGTGGAAAGACTCTGTGTAGGCTGAAGTGTTTGTTGACTGAAAAGTCACAGGGAAACTACAGACTGGCAGAGCAGCGGAGGTGGAAACCCACATGAACCTGCTGCGTTTAACCAGGGCTACGCGACCCAGGAATGGCCTCTGACGCAGGATGTGATTAACTCATCACAGTGCAGACCACATCCCCACGCCTCAGGCCCTCAATCTAGCACTTATCTTCATGCCAGCCACTGACATCATCACTATCTCTAATGACACATGCAGTGTTCCTTCAGTGAACGGAACTATCAGTCCCTCAGACAAACAATAAGAGACGCACTTGATATGCAGAGACGTAGCAAAATTTGATTGTGTTTACTTATAGTGAGAGAACAAGCACAGCATATCTATGGCTTTAACTACAACATACAAGCACACGCACTCCTGATGAGGGTCTACCCTTTTTCAATTCAGCTTCATCACGGACTGAAATCATCTGACTGAAATACAGCTAACATAACCTGCTGGAAAAACAAACTCTGTTTAGATTGGCTTTCCAAACAGTGACTCTTCTCATTGCTGGGTTCTGAGATGTTTTTCAAAGGTGCTTCACACCCTCCCACCACCAGCAAACATACAAAGCTTACGTATTGGGTTACTTTTTCCCACAGAAACTGTGTCGCTTCGGCAGGGTTCTGGACACTATTTTAATATTGAGCACAAAGCCGCCGCTAATAGAGCCGAGATCTAGCTGAATCGGGCGATCGAGTTACAGGAGACACAACGGCCTCGGTGAATACGCTGCTTCTGGCTCTCCTCATGCCCTTTCAGTTCATGGCTTTTATCAGAGCCATCGACCTTCAGAGTAATCCCCTAAAATCAATGTGCTAGGAAGGACCTTTAAAAATGAAATTACATCAGTCAGGAAGGCCACCCACTCAGAAGCGATATTTAAGTCACAGGCTGTTTCCCCTGATATTGGTCGCATATAACAGATAAACGACTTGTTAGATAAAAGAAGTACGTCTTCATTCCAGAACAGAGAGACACTGTACGTTGGAGACCGACAAATGACATAGATATGCAGAATTTACAGTTGCAAGCAAAATTTGGGCAACTCTGGTCAAGTGACCTGCACAATTACTGTTTATTGGATGAATTTATCACATTAACAAAAAACACATAAAACTGATTGTATAAAAGTTATGGCACATTTTGGATTTTCTTTTTTGCGAGATGTTTACCTGTACCTTTATTAAAAGACAAAAAAATTGGATATTTAAAGGAACAATCCATGACGACCATCTACAGAAAGAGACGAAAGAGCCGACAAAACTCAGGCTTCAAGATGGCTGCTACTGCTGTTTTTAGCTATGCAACAATCTTGTGTAATTTTATAGATATTATCAATCATACAGTGTCAGAAACCACTTATGCAAGACTGTCTGAGATTACTTACTATGATGTGGTTTGATGTGGCTAATTTGATTTAATAGTTTGCACAACTCACATTGTAAAAAGGTTCCATCTCTTTTAACTACATTAGCCTTGTAGTTCCAGCGCAAAACTAAAGAAACAAACATATTTTGGCTGACTGAGTACATCTCACATAAAGGGACTGTGCAAATTAGATTTTTTTTTACCAAACTTTCTATAAAAGCCCTGTTTTAAACTTTGTTTTTGGTCTTTATGGCTGAAGTGTTCTTTTTGGAATGAACCAGATTTCTGAGATGAAGTGTATGTTTAAACATTCACAGCCATGGGTGGAAATTGTCCTCAGCTAAGTATACAGGAGACAGATATGCAGGAAGTAGTCACGATTACTCACACAGCAAAATTTGGAGATGCAGAACCTACTATTGAAGGACTACATCATTTTAGTTGTTTTCATCATTTCACGTGGGTCAAATCTTCTACTTTTTATTTTTTTGCAAAGCACAATAATATACACCTTCAATCTGAGCAACAAGTCCATGAGGTCATGCAGAGTGTCTCAAATCCAGGCCATGAGGGAGGAACTGAACTAAAACACTGGCATTAAAGCGCAAATTACAAAAACGGCAGAGCCAATAAAGTTTGTTTTTCCTCCGTTGTCTGGTGAAATTCTTGGCCTTGCTTATTGACTCCCCACATGACCAGGGCTGCAAGGCCAGACAGGAAGCAGACAGGTCCAGTTGCTCGAAGACTACAGTCCAAATCGATGTGGTAATCACCGACCTGCTTTAAAAGCACCCACACGGTTGCCGAACGGAGCAGTGATTAACTGAGACTGTGTAAGGGGTTGACAGTCATTTAAAGCAGGCAAGGCTCATCTATACATCTTAAGCTGGACATCAACGCAGCCTGATGGTGATGGTTGTATTGCTCTTGGCAGAGAAGCAAATCACCTGGGGTGGATCATCTCTTGAAAACGTTGAAACCAGTGAAACATTATATTTTCCCAAGGACGATGCAGAGAGAGGACTTTTAAATCCACCAGCTGCACAGTCAGACCTAATCACAGCTGCATAGCTGACATACTGGCACGGAGTCCCTCGGCAGCAAATTGATTTCTGAGAACACAGCGTGCAGGTGCCCCCATCACCATAGTGACAAGAAGCGTTTCTCAACCAATTTATATTTTCTTTTTGCGGTTTGGATCAAACTGCTAAAGGATCAATGGCCATTGTTTTGCAGTGTGATTAGACTTCTCCTTAAGCCAAAACATCAAAAACAACCTAGCGAGGTTTTCCAGTGAGGACTTACTGTCGTACGCTGCACTCGCGCACACACACACACACAAACACACACATCGAATGCAATACACACATTTACACACCCCCACGCTCTCACGCAACACCCCCACTATCACGACCGACCTCCTACGAACACACCCCAGCGATTACGGTTAAGTCAAAGCTGATTTTAATAAGTAAAGCTGTGCTGGAATGCTGGCGCATAGGTGTTGTACCACCGCATGTCACCCACGGTGGAGGACGGGCCTGACCTGCGGCAGAGCCCTTAGCATGACCCACTGCAGCTCTAAGCCAAACAGGACCAGACTCCGCCACTTTCAGAGCGCTGAGTTTACAGGCTCTTTCACCCAAAACACTGCCACTATTGCGAGATCAAGGGCAGAGCTGTATTCAGGGAGGAACAGTCTGTAATTGAGCTGAGAAACAAGAAGCAGGAGTCACAAAAGGAACCACAAAGTGATCCTGCAAGACAAGAGAGGTGCTGTCCTCTCTGCATTGGAGAGTAGAGGTGCAGACGAACAAGCAGTGGTTGCAGTACATTAATCCAACAAACATCAACAAACCCAAACGTTTTACTGATCAGCCATATCTGTGGGAGACTCTAGAATGTTCTCCCTTTTCCCCTTACCCTGTAGCATTTAGCCCAACCCAAATCTAGCACACCTGCTCCAGACATCAAAGGCATTCAGAGGCATCTAAACATTTAGAGCTAGGTGTGATGGATCTGGACTTTCCAGAGAGGTAGTTTTAAGGACCAGGTTTGGGCACCCCATTCTACCCCATTCACACAGTTTTTCCAGTGTGTCCACCCCCCGCCTTCTTCATACAAGTTCATCTGGAATGTTACTTCTTATGTATAGTCCATGTTCCTAAGGCCTTCTTTGGCAATATACGCTATATGGCCAAAAGTATGTGGTCACCTGACCATCACACCTATATCAGCTTGTTGGACATCCCCTTTCAAAATCATGTGCATATGGAGCTGGCCCCTGCTTTGTGGCTATAATAAAGCATGATTCATCACTGCAGAGAACATGTTTCCACAGCTCCAGAGTCCAGTGACTGTGTGCTTTACACCACTCCAGCCGACGCTTGGCATTGCTCACAGTGATCTTAGGTTTATGTGCAGCTGCTCAGCCATGGAAACCCATTCTATGAAGCTTTGCCGGATGCTGATGTAACATAATTTTGGCCATAGTGCATTATATTTATGCTGGCTAATTAATGGTACCAAACCCAAACCCACACCAATGACTGGCTTATGCTTCAAATACCTCAAGCCTTTATCGAACATAAAAGCTGGTTCCATTTATTGAGCGCCAGTGAGCTGAAGTAAGTCACAGGAGACTCTAAAACCGCATTCACTCTATCATATAATCACATTGATGTTTGTTTCTTATTGCTTTAATGCTTGTTTTATTGATTGTTTTATTCCTCTAATTATAGTTTCAGTGTCAATACATTTATATTATTATGTTAATATTTCTATTTGATCCTTTGTTTAATTAAGCTAAGAGTTTAAAAAAAGACTTGAATGCAAGTCAACTGAAAAGCTCTTGCTTTAGTGGAACCATCTGAGTGTTGTTTTATGAATTGACATCTCTAAATGTGAAGCGCAATACTTTCATAATGGTTCTGTAATGGGATATTTAACCTGATATTTTCTTTCTTTCACACTCCTTCTAAGGACTCAAATCTGCAGTCTATTTGGTACAAACATGAGGTAGTTTGCCACAGCACTTCATACCAAAGCTTCAAGAATTATTGAAATATTACAGTTATCATTGCTATTTCAGCACAGTCCTTGAAAAAACAACCCACAAAAACTTCAGGTTGATCCTTAGTTCACGGTTTTTAATCAAATCAGCCATCAGTTTCCCAACCCAGTTCTCTGGAACCCCCAGTCCTCTTTTTTGCTCTACCTCACTTTACAGCACAATAGCACCAGGCTTCAGTTCTTGGTAGCTTAAATCAGAGAATTCATTTAGGGCCCTCAAGGACTAGATGGGAAACACTAACTTAAAGGACAATTAGGGAGACAAAAACAGCTTTCTTGTCTAAACGGTTGAATTCATAGCCTCATAAACCCTTTCAATATCATAATGGTTATACAGTTTGAAAGGACAGCGGCCAAAACAGATGGCCAGTATTTTGCCACAAATTGTTTAGAAAGCTTATCTTATGTTAACAGGCAATTCAGGTGAGTGACAAGCGTGTGAATCAGCCTAGGTAAAATAGCCACAATCAGGTACTTACCAAGTGTCCAGCCAGCCCTGCAGTGGCAGTGGCGTCTCTGGTGTCCTGAGAGTCACTCATGGTTCCGTAAGGTCTGCGTGCGTAGATATGCTTTTGTGCGTTAGCCTTTTTCTCTTTCGCTCAGACTCAGCTGGGAGCTTTCGGGCAGCATAACCTGAGTGAACAAAAAGAAGATATATTCTTTACACAATAAATAGCCACATACTGCTGAGCTTTAATGGCTTTATCTGAGGAAGCATCCTCTTCGTTTCTGGGAGGTCAGCTGATAACAACATAGCAATTACATTATGACATAGGTTTAGAAGGCTCAGATAGAGACCATCAAGCTAAAATAAACAGGCACTTTATCTCTCATTTTATCTAAGCAAAGACAGAAGAGTGAATCATGCTCAGTGAATCACCATCTAATAAATTATTACTACTCTGAAAGAGGTTCCAACAACAAAAGGGAAAAATATATTTCTTCAAAACATTTTTGGCTTGCACTTCCCCCACAAAAAAGACATCAGAGTCTGACAGGGAAGGTTTATGCTTCTGAGCTGCATTAGACACAGGCAGGCACCTCTTATTCGGTATGCTGTTTCAGAGAAGCCCTTCTGCAGACCTGTCTGGGGATCTCACCAAGGTCAAAGCTAGCAGGGATGTCTTCTCGAAGGGGACTAATCAGTTGTAGTGATTACAGTCAACCAAGATTATTACCTTGAATACTTGCATTCATTTACTCTTTATTGTATGTATATATTTATTTGTTTATGTGAGTTATAATCAAAACTGACGTTATTTCTGCAAATAGAAGTTTGAAGCTGTAGTCTCCATACAAGTATAACAATCATTGTACTTTACAGCACAAATTCCCAAGCATTAATCATGTAAAGCAGTACATATTGAACATTCAGGCAGACGCAACACAGAAAAATAGAGTATGATGCCCTGTATGACACATTGTCATGCTAACAGTAGAAATGCCTAAAAAATGCAAAAAAAAAGCAATAAAAAAAATTTAAAGGGTGAAACCAAAACTTCAACTTAAGGTTCAAACTAGTTTTAAGCTCATTTTCTAAGTCACTCTACTATAAGTGGCTGCTTGTACTGCAAGCGTACAAGCACCCTTATTTTTTTTGAGCCTCGTTTTGGGGATTGGTAGGTAGAGTAGAAAAGCTAGTCATACTCATAGCAACAAAAATAACCACAGGCACAAGCATTCCATAACCACTACTTCATATGAATATATATTTTGGGACATGCAGTTACTTATGGCAGATAATGTGTCATCAGCCTGAGACCGCAGTCCAGCTGATACAGTCAGCTGATCTAACAGATAATGACTTGACGCAATGTGTGGATACTTTCCAAGACTTGACAAACTATTGCTCATTATTCTCCACAGTTTATATCTATCTATAGCTACACAAAAGGATGGTTTGAATTTTCAACAATTAGAAAACTGATTAGGTGCTTTAGGCTTCTGTGTCAATAGATTCAGTAGACGACATACAGTACATACCCTCATTTTTCAGGGTGAGCAGTTTAAATAGCATTACACAATCTGCCCCAGGAGGTGCAGTCCAGACAAAAAGCTTGATTACTTCACGGATTCAAGGTGCTTAATCATATTAGCGGCATACTGCTTAGTTCAACAACGAAAAACTGATTCGAAGACTGAGCAGACAGACTTTGTTTGCACCACTTCTGAACACACTGGAGTTCCTCCGAGGGTTTCTACCAATGCATCTGGTAATATTCCTTATCCACTTCCTCTAACTATTCTGACTATTGCCTAAAACCTCCTGCTTTGCTCTGTCCATTCAGATTGCGTGTAAGTGACAGAATGCGGGTGAAGTAAGAACTTCCATTTCAGGACAGCCCTTCACAAGCAGACGTAATAATGATCTGAGTGCTTTCGTTAATTACGGGAACTTTCTTTATCAGTCTCGTTTCCGAGTTTTATCCTGTTGAACAGAAACTCCTTATAAACATGTGATTACACAGGGGATCAGTAGGAGAACCGCTCTCAGTCATTAGGTATAAAGGGAGAAACATGAAAATGAAAGCCTGCGAAACCATCCAAAACTTTACGATACTGCAGTGAAGAATAATCAAAACAATCTTTGCATGTACATTAAAATCCAAGGTCCTTTGAAAATTGGCACCATGATGTTTAGTGCCTACTCAAAGTTAAAAAACAGAGTCAATCAGCAGAGGTGACACTCTGAGGGGGAAACCAAGAGAGAGAGAGAGAGAGTCTAAAAAGAAAAAAAAAGAAAAACCTTTAAAAAGAAGATGAAAATAACAAATTTTAAGAATAAAAAATGTATAGAAAATATATAAATAATGAATATATTACACAATTTCAGGAATGTTACATAATAATTGCTTTCTTTTCTCTGCTATGTTGAGTGCAGGTCCAGCTTCTGTGAGTGGACAGTGATGGAAAGAATGCCATCAGAGGCACTTGAACGCACCACTTACACAGAGTAGAAGAATGCCAATGGAGGAGACGAAGCGCATCTTTGCTCAAAAAACAACTTCCAGTGTTCTGACCAACAGCTGTCACGAGGCTTAGTAAAATAGGTTAACTAAGTTAGTGTGAAACAGGATTACAAGTGATGAACCACTGAATCACGAACAGCTCTCATTAAAAGCCAGTGTCAGTGTTGTTTTTGATACGCGTGTAACGGCAAATCGCATTATCACCGCCGCGCTGCGATGGAGGACAAGAGAAAGTCACATTCCAAGTGCTCACAAACCCAGAATCTGAACGGCACTGAACCGGAGCAGCACAGCAGTGCGGTCTGCTATGCGGCTTCTGCCTGCATATTTCTGCCGGAGACGTCTGCCAGCAGAAACAGACGAAATTCACTTTAAGTTGGACAGGAAACATTCTGCAACACAGGAAGAGCTGTTAAGCGTTTTTCTAAGCAAATACCAAAAGTATGTGCCCATCCTCTTCCACGCAAACATGACCAGCCCTTCTGTCAAACGCTGCAACAATATGAGCTGCTGTGATAAAAGGAATCAAATTTACAGACTGAGAGAAAGCAGAGCAAAGGCTAAACACACACACACACACCAACAAAGCGAGCGCTGGAGAGGGCTGAGAAAACATGTGTTCAATCAGTGCTGAGTGACACTGACAGAAGGGTGAGTGTAATTTGGCAAGAGAGGGAAAATGTAACAAGCTAGCACTGAAAGGCATACAGACAGAAAGAGGGAAAGAGACAAAGAGAAAGAAAGAAAAACACATAGAGACAAAGACACAGAGAAAGAGAGAGCAAAAGACAGACAGAAAAGCCGGGCTTACCTTTCAAGTGCTTACTGCAGGGAGCCTACAGCCACAGTGGTCATTGTAGTGCGATGGCAAACCTACTGTGAACGAGAGCAGGCGCGAAGCAGCAGAGAAAGAGCAAGGGAGAGCGAGGGAGGGGCATAAGGAGAGAAGAAAAGGCTGCGATTGGAGAACGGCACCGCTTTTCTGACTCCAGTAACACACTACCCCCTTTTTACATTACCCTCCAGCCCTCACACTCTTCCTCTATCTCCTCCTTTCTCTCTGACACACATCCACACGTATGCTGTTCACTTCCAAACACAAAAATGCCCACTGATATCTCCCCCTCCACCACCAACACCCTCCCACCCCTGCGATTAGGCTTCCTCCTTTAGCCTTCTGACAAACATGTGACCATGGGGACATGACTCAACACTACAGCTCTGGGCCTTAAACTCTAAAAATCTCACTAAACACATAAAAGCACACCCCTCATGTCCCAATACACTCAACACACACATTCTGATGTCAGTTCTGATCCTTAAAGCGATAGTTTGGGGCAAAAATTCAAATTTACAAAACTCTTTATTTTCAATGTAGTTAGTCTTGCAAGCCCTGGTTCTGCCTATCATCAGGGAGTCAAGTGCATTTCTTCCTTTGATGTGGTGAAGAACAGCCTACATTTTCCATGTTTTGTTGTATATAGTATAGTAAAGTATAAATCTTCAGAGAACACACTTCTGCACATTTTAATGCATAATAATGTTTTTTGACTGAATTTAACATACCGGGGGAAAGAACTAAAACACAAAAAAACTCAGCAAATAAACAGAAACTGTGCACTAAAATTAAGTGTGCTTTCTTTAGAGGATGTGTTTACTTGTTTTCCCTTAGAAAATCAACAAAATTTGTAATTTGACCAGGTGTGTTCAAACCTTTGCATACAATACTGATTCATAAATATTTATAAAATGTAGAAATTGGGACAAAATTTGGAGACCTGGAACAGTATTAAAGAGGAAGGGAACACATTCATAAAGCAATAAAATTAACAAATTGCAGAGTTGTAGCTTCGTCTAAACGTCTTCTAAACAAGTACAAAAAGATACGTTGTCATTTATCGGTTTGAAATACATGTAAAATCTAAACATCTGGCGACAATTTTTAAAGTGAATATCTGCTAATAACAAAAATATTGTGGATTCCTAGAAATAACCAACGACAGCGTAACATGTGCAAGGCACTCGATTTTCAAAACGAGGCTATGATCAAAACAATCCTGCATGCAAAAATATTGGTATGCGTATCAGCAAATGCGAGAAAATGTCATTTAAAACTAACTAAATGCTTCAGAAAACACTTTTGAATAACTTTTAACAGATTTTTTTGTCAGTCCACCTACTATACCTCTCTCTGAAAAGCTCGGTCATGGCGAGTATAGTGGGCAACTACGTGCAAAAGCCTGTTTACTGTGGCACTGATAAAATCAGCTTCACGGTATTGCGGACACATGGATGTGTGGACCGGCAACCAGAAGGTCACCAATTAAATCATGATAGTTGTGGGCAGTTTAATGTGATACAGACATCATGAAACTCCATTTACACGTAGGCTAAGACTACAATGTAGTCAATCAGCCAGGACCTGTTCTGGATCTGAAGTTTGTTTCTTTACTTTTGCACTAGAGCTACATGACTAATGTAGGCAACAAGTAATGGAAGCTTATACCCCACTTAATAGCATTATGCAAACTGCATGACTAAACCATCACACACTTACCTCAAACTGTGTCAAGTTGTTATTTAATATCAATAAGACTTTTCATGTAGTTTCTGGTACCGAATGACAAACTGTTATCTGTAAACATGAACAGAGGTATACCGCAC